TAATACATGATGGGCAGGGTTAGGCAGGAGTGTAAATCTAAAGTTACTTCTTTTTTCAGTGTGGACATCACATAAGGCAGGCACACACCTTAAGCCCTCCCTACCTCATAGAATGTGCTAGACCACTTAACAGAAAAATAGCTGACCTCTCTTAAGAAAAGCAGCAGGATGATACTGTATCTTTTGGAGAAGGGTCTCAGAAAAACCAGAGTGGTGTGGGAAAGTAGGACATACCTGCTGATCAGTACACACCCTATTGTGTCATAAAGGATGCTGCACTTTGCCAAAGGATTTTTAGTGTTTTGGTTTTTTTCCTCCCCCCAGCAGACACATGGACTGCGGTTCCCTTTGTCATACTTGGATGCACTGAAGCAGATTTGGAGTAGTGGCACTATTAATGTTAAAGAGCTTAACCTTCTCTCAGATGAAGATAAAGAAAACCTTGCCTTGTCACTGTGGAGTGAATGTCTAATTGAAGTTATTTGATGCTTTTGTGAATGAGCTGCTCCTGGAAGTAGTATTTCTGACCATCAAGAAGCTCTAAGCCTTTCTCTTATTAAATTTTTTATCTATCCAGCCTTTGGTTTGTATTGCTATCTAACGAAGCATTGCAATATATGTACTTTGCTACTTTCTGGTACCAAAACTTACTTTCATTATTTTGGGAGAATGGGAATTGGGAAAAACAGGTAAGCTGTATATTGTCCAGTGAGCCAAATCTCCCTCTCTTTGGGTGGATGACATCACTCCTGGGCACACCAGTGCTGTGGTATTCCCCTGTACGTATGTCCTGGCATGGAGGACATCTAAAGGTACAAATGGAGCAGGTTCCAGGACCTTGGGCAAAAAAAGTAATCCATTTTTTTTCATTTGTAAGATTCACCAGCAAGAAAAAAAATCCATTTCTCCTGTTTGTTTGCCCCGAGAGAGCTATGTACATGGTAAGACTTTGCCCAGGAAAAACCCCTTTCCTCTCAGATGCTGCCACCTCTGGAGTAAACAAACAATAGTACTTAACTGCTGCCTCCCCCAGCACTAATTTAATGTGGAAGTAACCCCAACCTTTAACTGGAAGCTGGGTCTTCAATGCTCACCTGCTTTGATGGGAGTAGTGCAGTTATTTTAATACTTGAACATCACACAAACTAATTTAACAACAGTCATGTATTTGATATATACTTGACCCTTCTTTGTCCATTTGAGAGGAAATACATTAAAGGAATGTGCCTGACATGTGAAGAGCTGCTGTCCCATTCAGTTTAAAAAGAGACCACCAAGCACAGTGTTTCTCCTAAAAAAAAGTTTTATACAATTAAAATATACATGCTTAGCATTTTACATTCAAGATCATTTAAATACAAAAGCCTGCTTTACTTTATGTAACAATGACACTCCCAATATGATTTAGTCATTCTTGGTTTTAAAGACTAGAACTTTTTACACAGGCTTTTCAGCTTTCATATGGGAAGCAGGTCACATGTAGAATACTTGATACACTGATTTACATTAAAAAAGCTAAACAAGTGCTTTAGCTGCAAAAATATATACATATATTTGAAGATGTTACTCAAAGAGCAGATTTAGGATAACTTTAGAATGTAAAATAGTAAGTGCAAGTAGATAGCTTTTTTAAAAATTAAATAGTACTGTATAGAACTCCATTTCATACAAAAATAGACATCCATATATTTCATTTCTGTGGCAAATTTAAGGTTCTGTGGTTTTATTCGATGGAGATAGATCCTGCCTGAATGCACAACCAGAATAGTTACAGCTTTTGGAAACAAATATCCATCTTTAGCTAACAAACTTTTTAAATAGTTCTAGAAATACATACCCTGAATATACAAATAAGGGAAAAAAATTACATATTCAATGAAGTTGATTAATTTAGTGACACTGAAATAAAGTTACCAGTGATCTAAGGGACCTTGCTTCCACCTCAGGTGTTGACAGCCTCACAGCCTGTCTGCCTTTCCTGCTATATTTGTCAGTGTTGAGTGAGGAACCTGCTTTTCGAACCTGCAACAACTGCAGTCCTGCAAGGTATGTGGCTCTGTCTCTCAAGTGGTGTGTAGGAGGCTGGTTGCTTAGTGCTGAACTTGAGGAAAGCACCAGCATGCCAAGGTCTGGACCATTAGTCTAAGTCCTTACCCTTTGGGATAATATGTACATGCTGTTGATGAGCCATGGTAACTGTAACATGCACCTATGCTGTTCTTGTAAGATTAAGGAAGCATTGAAATGCAGGCTGCTAGCACCTTTGAAAATACACACTGGGTCAATTATTTTCTGAAGGAAGACATGGTTTCAAGACCAAATTACATTGTATTAAATTAATCTATATACATGAAGAGAAAATATTAGAGTTAAAATTGTTACTGCTCTAATTGCAGCCAGCCCTTGTAGAAATTTAGCCTGACCCAAGACCGTTTATTCTATTGTGATACATGCACATATGGGTCTGTGTTAAAGGTGACCTTCACTGACAACTCACAATTTCACAGGTTGGAAACAGGACATGGTCAGCAAAATCAGTTCCTGAATCTGGAAATTTGGTAGTTACAAGAATTGCAAGGGCCTACCAGTAGCATTACGGCAGTAAAAGTCAGGCTTTCTCTACTGCTCCATTACACATGCTGAGCTGGTAATTCCAGTTCAAAGTTGTCTTTATGAACAAAATAAATTGCATTTTAGCAAGAGATATGATCTGAGCTTCAGGATCACTTGCAGCCTACACAGTTTCACTTGGGACATGAAAGTCCAACTCCACCTCCTTCAAGCTCATTAGTGCATTCATTCTTCAGTGAGCTCCCATCAGTTTTTGAGAGGAAAATAAAAACATTTCTAAAGACCTTTTCAAATCTCTTCATATCTTCATATCTCTTGCAGTTCATATCCTGCAAAACTTAAACACAGTCTTTTGCATTTACTTTTACTACATCAGAAGACTTTCATAGGAGTGACCTCTACAGAATCAGCTTCCCTGCAGAAATATAGTCCATCAACCTCTCACCTTCCACATTTGTGCAAAATTCAGTTGCTTCAGGAGTTGGTGCTTGGTATGAAGGAAAGTAGAGAGGAGGTGCTGCTTAAGGTTCCAGTGGTGTGTGACTTCATAGTTTTTTTTTTTCCCCTCAAGGTGTTAATAAGTCACATAAGATTCATATGTGGTGGGTTTTACAATATTTCAATATCCCATTTTTGTGAATGTTTGTCATCCACTGGCTGATTCATAATGATGTGATTCTTGTCATAGTAATTCCCTCCTTAAAAACAAAATCATGAAGAAAACATTTTTAGATTAACTGCTCAGAAAAGTCTATGCATAACCTTGGAAAAGTGTGACTAAGTAGGAAAACTTGCTTAAAAAGAATTTCACTGGGTTGGGGACTGGTATCTCTTTCAAAGAGTTGCTTGTCAACTTGGGCCCTGAGAAGCTCCATTAGTTAGGAAGCAGAGTATTCTGGAGTCTCAAATGTACCTTTATGCACAGAAACAGCATCCGGGGAGATTTTGCTTTTGGCAGATCCTGAGCTCCTGCTGTGTGCCTGGCCTTTTAAGGTACATACTGCTGCAGTAGAAATACCCAGATTCACAGACACCTGTGAGGTTATTTGGTGTGGTGTATCCATTTAAACCACAAACTTAGGAAGTCCTTAAAATAAATTTTCTCTCCTTTGAATACAGGTAGCATAGAAACAACAGTGCATTTTTTATCATACCATAAATAAAAATCCACTAAAAGAAGTGTTCTGAGGACCTATCAAGTGGTATATTGCCACCCCAGCCTTCACCATTGTATCTCACAGTAACCTAGGCAGTACAGCTTTCTGATACTGAAGAACTACCATTCCTATATCACCAGTTGCATTCACCTATTATGCTTTGTAGTAGGTATTTATGAATTAGTAATGGTGGCTACACTCCTTAGTTCTGGAAGCCAGGAATGCTCTAGTAGTTTCAGCATCACAGGGCTGAGAGAGAACTCATCAGTTAAGTTTGAGCTGCAGAGGTCAGATGCATAATGGCCAGCAGGACAGGCATTGAAAAGGTTGATGACTTCATCTGTGGGATGTGCCCTTACCTTGGTCTGTAAGCCCTGCAGGGTTATTGACTATCAATTCATTTACTTAGAACCTTCATCTGAGAAGAGTGCACCATATAGAGCCCCCAGCCTCATAACCAGGCACTGCAGTCATTGCCCCACTACTTTTCCCTAGGGGAAAAAACCCTAGCGCCAGCAGCAGGGCGTGTGTGTGGGACAGGCATGCTCCAATGTGGTAGTTACACCAAGATGGATAATTAGAAGGACTAGGTCTTGAGCAATGACAATTTTAACCACCCTGAAAACATAAGGAGTGAGCACTTCTCTCTTTTTGAGCCACACTTACTCCATGGTTGCTCTTCCTTCACCGTTTTGTCCTCTAGCTTGCATTTCTGGCCATCAGCTCTAGTGAACTCCCCCAAGTAGAACAGCTGATCTGATTAAAATAAACCTCCAGGATCAAAAGAGTAAGGTCCCCACCCACCCCACTGTTTCTTGTCTCACTGGCAAGTAACTGGGCATAAACCTAACAGGAAACACAGGATTCAGTATTTAGCCTTAAATACGAAAAGAGCTGGAATAAATTGAAAAATGCATGTGAGGGCTACTTGATTGTTTTTTTTCTTTAATTACCTTTAATATCAAGCACCAGTTGGTCACTGAGGTATGAACTGATGGTTCCATCCTCATTGAGCCTCCACTTTTGTCTGTCCTTCCCATGTTCTGTCCAGAGTGCTACTTTGGCCCCTGGCACATCTCTGCCACCAATGACATCCAGACAGGCATTGTTAGCCTACGGAACAAGAAGAGAAGTGAGATCCAGCTACAAAGCCTTGGTTTTGTGACTGCCTTGTTTCTGTTTCAAGCACTGAGCGTATCAGTGACCATACTAGAGTTGGTAGCAAGCCTGGCAAGCAAGTTGGGAATGCACTAGCCAGCAACTGACCAGCTGCTTGATCAAAGGTAGTGGTCTTTGTTACTTCAGGAGTTTCTTATGTTAACTGCCAGCTTTTTATATTAACAACAGGCTGTCAAGGGCAGCATTAACACACAAAAAAACATACAGCCTTTCTTCACATACTGCTTTTCAGAGAAATTATTAACTCTTTGGAGATAATAAACTTGAACTTGCAACTTTAGAAAAGACCAGGTTCCTACTTCCAGGAACATCAGTCCCTTTAGACAGATGTGAAAAGTAGTCCAGCTTGCCAAAGCAGATGTATCAAATCTGTCTATAAATAGTAGGAGTCTTGGTTTGAGATGCACAGGAGAGGCCAACAGCTATCCTGGTGTTAATGCTGGCTAAGAGTAAAAGCAAGAATTGAAGGTGAAATGATAGCAGGTGACGCAACCCACCCACTTCCAGCATCTGTAAACACACCTTGGATTTGAAGAGTCCATGAGAGTAGTGCCAGATCTGGCTACTCTTGCCACTGTATGGGGACACACACACTGATGCTGCCCTTATATCTCCAAGGCTTCCAGCCACCGTCAGGTATTTACCTTGGGCTCGGTTCTTCACTCTGAGGTACACTGCTGGCTGAAAGAGTGGGAAGGAAGGTGAGGAACATCCATGTGAGAAAGCCTACTCTCTATCTGACATCAGCTTTCTGAAGCGTATGTTCTATTTCCAGTTTCAGATGAGGATGCTGAATTAGTTTTTGTTGGAAATAAATGCGTAGGAAAGGCAGCCGTGTTTTCCACAGGCAGATGGGACAGCTGTAAGCAGCAGTGGCAGAGAGATTTTTTTCTTTTAAATGGATGTTTATAGAACTAATTCCTTTGATACACAAATATCTCTAGTTCAGCACATTTCACTCAGTCCAACATCAGTAAGTGGGCTGTAACTCCACAAGCTTTTTATTCTCAGGATACAAGACTTAGTGAATCCCATATCCAGCAACTTCAGCCTCCATTAACTGAAAGACATGGTAGAGAAATTACACCATTGCTTTTGAACATACATGCCAAACAGGGTACTGATCTGGCAGCCCTTTTTACACAGTTGACTTAAAAAATCACGAGATTCTTTAGGGCTAGTACAGGGTTCCAGCTCTTCTTATTAACTGATTCTGGCACAACTGAAGAGCAGTATAAAGAGCAGCTTTATACTGCAGAACCCCCAGGTCAATCACAGTGTTTTCTTCCAGGAGCTTTGAACCTCCTGTTTTTCCATGTTGAAACAAACCCTAAGGTGGAGACAATAAAGCCTCTTTCCCACCAAATATCCATAAACTTTACCTGTACTATTGAGTATAGTGTACAGTTGTTATTTACAAGGAAGGCATTTTACTACAAAGTCACTGAACAAAGTTATGTCTCATCTTGCCTGACTTTCAAATGTTTTGCTTTTTCTTGCACTGTTACACTGGCAGACTTGACTGCCTCTTTAATTTGTAATGGAGAAAGAAAGGAAGAAATATATATATATAGTATTACTCCAGTCCTAAAAAAAAGGTGAAAAAACACCAAATATACCCACAGAACTGTCAAGCACAGGCAGCTGACTGCACAAGCTCAAGGAAGCTTTCAATTTGCAGGACTTAAAATATTCACACAAACTTCAAATACCAAAAGTCCCAGCAAAGTAGCTGAAATGGGCCTTGTAACACAACTCACTGTTGCACTGTAAAAAAGGATGCTGCCAAATACAAAAGCTATTCAGAAAAAGTGTTATAAGATCAGCTCAAATTGTTTTCAATATTATTTGCAAAATCAGCCTAAATTGGATCCTCTGGTAGTTATAGCTTCCAAAGAATTCCAGAGAGCTGTCAGATTATTAGACAACAAGTCACTGGGGATGTAGAAAAAAAAAATCCTTTACTTCTGCAAAGGCAGGGGGAGCAGATAATGCATATCTAATGCTAATTATTTTTGTTCATTGCAACACTTCCCCTGTTGAATCTAGTGCTAAAAAGCAGCATTTGTCACTAAGTAGAAACCAGTTTTGCTTTGTGAACCAGAGCTAACGAAAACTTCTCCAGCAGTTACTGCTCATGTTCTCTGCCACACTTCCCTGTTCTTTCCCTGTCTCCCCATGATGCTGCTCTCCCACAGCTGCATGACTGGGCATGCAGCAACATGTGCTTTGAGTGGTTTGGAGCTTATGTGTGTCACTGACTACCAGCTGCATCTTGGAAAGGCAGAGAAGCAGAACTGCACCTTCTTTTCCTTGAATGAGGGTCTTGCTTCTCTACCTACCTTTTGCAAAGCTCCTAAGAACTCTGTGGTTTCAAGACCCGAATCTTTGAACGAGGCTGAATTGGCATTATTTGGGGTGAAGCAGAGAGGGAAAACCAAGTGAGACTGCATAAACTTCTCTTCTTTTGGAAATCTAAGCTGCAGCACAGAAAAATTTGCTATTGATTCCATTTACATGAATTATAAAACAAGCCAATATAGAACTGCTTTTCTCATTATTACTGTAAATGTAAAAATAGAGCATCTACAGAACATGCTAATGAGCTATTCAGAAAAACAAAACTTGGCTCCAAGAAACTAGGAATTATTTCCCTTTAGAAGCCTAATATAGATCTCGGTAACTGCCACTGAAGGAATTTTCTGCTTCAATAATCTTCCAGTAGGTCATAATTTGGCCTGATTTAAAGAGTACAAAGCCTACCATTATTAGTGCTAGAGCTGATACTTGTGCACAATCCTTGTCCGAAAAAAGAATTTGTCCTCATGCAATTACAGTACCTGCTTCATAGGACGAAGGGAGCCAATTACTTTCCAGCCACTATGTTCATTCCAGTTTGGAATCTCACTGGGCTCCAGCAGAATCTGCTTTCCTAAAAAGTTACATCCCTCATATGCAATCCACCTGGATACAGAAAAGAGAACATGAAAGATGATGTGTTAACCAGAGCATAACTAAACTACAGGTTTGTGTTCAGCCCTGGGCTCTTTAAAGCCCCCAGACCTCACCACAGTGCTCTAGTACCAAATCTCTATTACTGTGCCACAAAATGCCATCCATTTCAGTGGTTTAACTGCTTTCTGTCTAAATTAAGATCTGTTTTCTGTTTGTCTGCCTGAGACTTGTGAACTCCATTCTTCCCCTTCCCCCACCCCAGTTTTCTTTCCCACAAATAGAAGAAACTCCATGAACCCAGATGGGAATAATGCAAGTTTCAGTGGGCATGAGTTAGGAAACTAGGAATTTGCACACCAGACTGTACTACTTACAGCTTTGCCTGGTTATTCATATTAATTAGGAGAGGCCCTTGTCCAATTATTTCTTTTGTTGCAGTTAAAGCTTTTTATAGCTATTCCAATTGTCTGAAGACACATAAAAAAATTTACTCCAAAACCTGTAAGTTGCTGCAGCAGATTTTCCTGTAGGGGATGTGTCTGAGCCATGGACATGGCTGAATCCTTTAACACAGCTGCAGCACTGGCACATACAGATCCCTTGTTATCGAGGCATCTGCTCCGTAAATACTATGTTGCTGCTTACAAAGGCAGCCTCAGGATCACAGATCGGTTTTGTCAGTATCAATAGGACATTATTGTGCAGACACTGAACCCTAAATGCTTGACTCATTCACTCAGCTGAACACAAAGCAAATATTGGCTTCCCCACATTACCTGTTCTACAGGTCAGCTGCCAAGAACACAAGGGATGGTTGCACTCGGAGAGAAAACATCCGCTGACAGTGCTCACAGCACCTGAAATTTACTTTTCCCCATTGCACAGGATTTGGAGGAACTGCTGGCCAGCCCTGCTCAGGACTCCATGGAGGCCAAACTGTGCCAGCTCTGAGCTGCCTGCTAATGAGGCTGTACCACTGTTCCTTCAAACAAGCCACATGCCTCCTGACTAACAGGTACTCTGAGCAGCCTGACCACCACTGGGTGTTCCTTACACGTCTACACATTCCTGACTTTTTTCTTGTGATGCTTCCTGTCAAAGTCACTGAGACTTCACTCTTAACTTTGTTCTTCAGGCATCAAAGAGTCTCATTCAAAATGCAGTTTCAAAGCAGACATTTATAGGAAATGAAAAGATGAAGGACTGTCATGGTAATAACCATATGAAGCCAGGTTGGCCTTCTGGCTTTTGGTGGCACAGACAAAACTTATCTCAGCTCTCACACAGACCAGCACCCACCACTGGGCCATCTTTCTCACACCTTGGAGTAGCTCAACTCCCCAACTCCCTTTGTCAACCCACGGTCCAGACTTGTGCTTTTTCTCACTGAGGTGGTCATTTGGCTCGGGAAGGATTCTTACACCTAAGCATGGCAGTAAGATGCCACTGGTATATATACATAAATCTTTGTAATTTATCTAAAGCTGACAGTGTGCTTTGGGGCAAGGAGTCAAAAAACCTCTAAATCCACCTTCCTAAACTTCTGATCAGAGGAGGAGGATCCCTCTAGGCATCCCACACACTCCTCACAATCACCTGCACCCTTGACCCTTAGGCTACCAATCCATAGTTTGGAACAGGCTGTGGAAGGCTGTTTCCTGGGCAGCATTGATGTTATTAATTGAAGTAAGTAAATTTATTTTATTTATTTATTTTTAATTACGTAAGAGAGAACAAAGAGACATGTAGAATAAAAACAGAGCTTAGACAACACTGGAACAGCAAGAATTAGAAATAAACCTAAATCTATAGCAGTCAACAGCCCATCCTTGAGAAACCAGCTTGCAAGACAGATAAAGAGATGGAAGGGAGTAGTCCCCACAACTTATCTTGGTTATAGCTTTAAGCACTAGATGAAAACACTGACTAATTCTCCTCACTGTATCAACAGATCACTAGCATATTAATATACTATTAGCATACTAAAATACCCACACATAGGCTAGAGGGACCCCTACTAACCAAAAGCCCCCTACTCTCTGAGGATGCGTAGCAAAACTTTTAAGCACTGTCACTTCAAATGGAAGCAAAGAACTGGTCAACCAATCACATACGCATGTGATAGAATGTAATTTATGCATGTTTCTGTTTATGAAAGTAACTCATTTTCAGGAAGCTGAGTTAGCTTTATGGAATACCACCTTGCTCTCTTTTCTGTGCAGAACTGGCTATTAAAGCAAGTATCTCTACTCTGTGTGTGGATTGGCTTCCTGCACACTGGGTGATGGACCCTGCTTTGGGGACAACAGCGCCACAAGAAGCTCAGAGAAAGCCCAGCTATTCTGCCTTGACCCTTCCTAGAGAGAGAGAACCAGCTAACCTGGCTGGGATGCTTGGAAGTTAACAGGAAGATGGGGAAGGAGCTGGACTGTTGCCCTCACTCTCCCATGCTTTTCTACTATGTCGTCCCAAAGCCATCACTTTCCTTATAGCCAACTGCATAGAATAATAGTTTAGGTTGGAAGGGACTTTGAAGATAACCTAGTTCCAACTCTCCTGCCAGGGACACCCTCCACTAGACCAGGTTGCTCAAAGACCCATCCAACCTGGTCTTGAACACTGCCAGTGAGGAGACAGGCACAACTTCCCTGGGCAACCTGCTCCAGTGTCTCACCACCCTCACACTAAATAATTTGTTCCTTATGTCTAACCTAAAACTCCCCTCTTCCAGCTTAGAGCTATTACCCCTTGTCCTATTTCTACATGCCTTGGTAAAAAGTCCATCCCCAGCTTTTCTGTAGCTCCTTCAGATCACAGAAGGCCACTATAAGGTCCCCTGGGAGCCTTCTCTTCTGCAGGCAAGAACAGCCCCAACTCTCTCAGCCTGTCCTCACCAGGAGAGGTGCTCCAGCCTTCTGATTATCTTTGTGGCCCTCCTCTGGACTTGATCCAAACAGCTGGATGTCCTTCTTACGTTGGGGGCTCCAGAACTGGACACAGTACTCCAGGGGGATTCTCACGAGAGCAGAGCAGAGGGGCAGAATCACCTCCCTTCACCTGCTGGCCACACTTCTTTTGATGCAGCCCAGGATGCTGCTGGCTTTCTGGTCTGAAAGCACACATTGCCAGCTCATGTTGAGCTTCTCATCAACCAACACACCCAAATCCTTTTCCTCAGGGCTGTTCTCAATCCATTCTCCATTCAACCTGTGTTTGTTCTTGGGATTTCCCTGATCCATGCACAGGACCTTGGACTTGGCCTTGTTGAACTTCGTGAGTTGGCATGGACCCACCTCTAAGTCCTGCCAAGGTCCCTTGGCATGGTGTCCCTCCCCTCCAGTATGTCAACCCCACCACACACTTTGGTGTCACCAGCAAACGTGCTGAGAATGCACTCAATTTCACTGTTTATCCAACAAAGATGTTAAACAGCCCTGGTCCCAGTACCAATCCCTGAGGAATGCCACTTGTCACTGATCTTCACTTGGACATGAAGCTGCTGACCACAACTCTGAGTGCAACCATCCAGTCAATTTCTTATCCACCAAGTCCATCTGTCAAGTCTATGTCTCTCCAACTTAAGAGACAAGGACGCCAAGTGGGACCGTGTCAAATGCTTTGCACAAATCAGGTAGATGACACCAGTTGCTCTTCCCTTATCCACCAATGCTGTTTTCTTGTTCTAAAAGGCCACCAAATTTGTCAGGCATGACATGCCCTTAGTGAAGCCATGTTTCTGTTATCAATTATCATTTTATTTTCCACATGCCTCAGCAGAGTCTTCAGAGGGATCTGCTCCATGATCTTGCCAGGCACAGAGGTGAGGCTGACTGACCTGTAGTTCCCTGGATCTTTCTTCTCTTGTTAAAAAGGGGGTTGTGTCACTTTTCCAGTTAGTGGGAATGTCACTGGACTGCTATGACTTCACAAATATGATGGATAGTGGCTTAGCAATTTCATCTGCCAGTCCCCTCAGGCACTGCAGATTAAACTTATCAGGTCCCATAGACTTGTGCACCTTCAGGTTCCTTAGATTGTCTTGAACCTGATCTGACCCTACTTTGTTGGTTTCTCATTCTCCCAGATCCTGCCTTTGCCTTCTGTGACTTGGGCAGTGTCACTTGAGCACCTGCTGGTGAAGACTGAGGCAAAAAAGTCACTGAGTACCTCAACCTTCTCCATATCCCAAGTAACCAGGTCTCCCATTTCCTTCCAGAGAGGGCCCACATTTTTCCTAGGCTTTCTTTTATCACTGACATACCTCTAGAAGCTCTTCTTGTTAACTTTGATGTCCCTGGCCATATTTAATTCTGTCAGGGCTTTAGCTTCCCTAATCTGATCCCTGGCTGCTCAGACAATTTCACTGCACTCCTCCCAGGCTATCTTGCTGTCCTTGCTTCCACCTCTGCAGGCTTCCTTTTAGTCTTTTCATTTGTCCAGGAACTTCTTGTTCATCCACACAGGCCTCCTGGTGTTTTTGCCTGATTCCTCTCTGTTGGGCTGCATCACTCCTGAGCTTGGAGGAGGCTCCAAGTCACTATCCTTGTATAGTGACTAGCTTCCTTGGGCTCCTCATTCCTCCAGGTCTTTATCCCATGGTGCTCTACCAAGCAGGTCCCTGACCTGCTTGCAAGTCTGCTCTCCTAAGTCCAGGGTAGAAAACTTGCTGTGCACCCTCCTTGCTGCCCTAAGGATCTTGAACTCCACCATTTCTTGGTCCCTGCAGCCAAGGCTGCCCTTTAGCTTCACATTCCCAACCAGCCCATTCTTGAGGGCAAGAACAAGGTCCAGCACAGCACCTCTCCTTATTGGTTCCTCTATCACTTACAGAATGAAGTTATCTTTGCATGGACAAAGTGATTAATTTCCACTTCCACATTCCTGACGGGAGGACAGAGACAGCTCATATAGAGAAGTTCCCCAACAGGGGACACTTTAGTAACACCTCCACAGAGATATGAAGGTTTACACACTTCCACCAGAAGTAAGTCAGGTGTTCCTCCCAAAGGTGACCCTTACTTCTCTGAACTAGCACAGATCTCAGAAACCATGTATGTGCTGTTCTCAGCCTCAAAGGGCAGGTGCTTGCCACTCTCACCTGGGGCACCTCAAGACAACAGCAGCAGATGATAACTGTGTATGTTAAGCAAGAGCCCAGACATCAGGGACTAGAACTTACAGTGAATAAGCAAAGCTCTGTGGGGAAGCTTATACTCACTATGGGCCCACAGCTAAAGTCAGTTGTCACTGCCTGCTCTTAAAGAAAAGATGTTCAATTCTTAACCAACCTTTCAAGAAAACTTTTGTGTGAGATTTCTGAAAGAAAACACACCACAGTGCTCTGGAACATTAGCTAGGTTAGGTTTGGCTTCTGTACCACCCTCAGAAAATCAGAGGAGTGCTCAGCAGTGTAATCACAGGTATTTGTAGAAGCGTTTTGACTTCTAGGTGGTAACAGACTAGATGCATTTGAAAAATTCATTTTAAGTCTCTTAATAGAGATATACCTAAGCCTACACTAATCCTTGCTTGATTAGTTAATATTTTGCATGATTTTATGTCATCCCTTAAGAACTCCCAAGAAAATTACTGCCTTGTCTGTGTGAGAAAGGTGAGGAAAAAGTTAAAAAGAAACACAGGAACTGTGTGTAACGTTAGAAGAACCACAGCTTCCAGTCAGTCTCAGTTGCAGGATGAGACTTTGCAAGTTATTTGCTGCTGATGTGGCAGCTGAAAACCTGGCTGAGGCAGAACACTTCAGGGTTTCTCCAAAAGGTGAATAGGGGAAGATGTGGAAGAGGCTAGAAGGTCACTTCTGCAAGTGTAAACTGGTTTTCACAAAAGACCCTGGGTGTGTATTCACACTCATGGAGGGGGGTTAAACTACTAACAGAAGCAAATCACTGTTTCAGTGGTCAGGTCTGTCCCAAGCTTCTCTCAGAAGCTGCTGCCTCTTTGGCAGCTGATCAGTACTTCCCTGAACCACTGCAGTGGTTTGTGTTAAATCACTGCACTTTACAGCTGGTATTTTACAGCCAGGTAATAAAGGCAGTCTGAGTTTACTCTACCTGTCTTTGTAAGTCAGCAATCAAAACTTATTTACTTTTGGTTGATGGCTTGAACAATAGGCTCTCTTGTTTGTTACTGTATAGGGATAAAAGGACAGACAATTCTTTTGGGGGAAACACATCCTCTGATTTTTTGTTCATTTTGGATCTTGATACAAAAGGTGGGTCCAGCATTCAACCAATTTTTAGGAGTCTATACTGTCTCAAAAGTTGGAAAGTAAAACACATCCTAGGAAAAAAAGGCAGCAATCGGGAGAAAATGTATGCTCAGTATTAGCTTCTATAATGCAAATCTGACAAGAACACTTCTTCCATACTTACAATCCACTTCTCACCCACACAGACTGAGCGTAAAAATGAAGGTCCTCATTCAAAACAGAATTGATGGGTTCACTGAAGTGCAGCTCTCTGCCCTTGCAGCATTCCAGAGCAAACAGACTGATGGAGGGCTCAGCAAAAACCTAGAAAAGAAAAAAAAGCCAAGTTTTATTAGGAACAGCCTAACTTCTGCTGTTAGGTATTATGCACACTTTTACCACTGCAGTTTAATTTTCACATGCTTTTGTGTTAGATCATGCTCCCTCAGCAAATGTAACAGCAAGGAAAAACCAAAAAGTACATCCACCAACAAAGCACACAGAGCTGAAACATACTGGATTTATCAGTGGCTTTGTCATCAGAATATAGTGCCCCCCTGACACAGGCCAGACACAGTGAGTAGCTTCAAGATGCAGAAAGGCCTCTGTTTGCATTTGAAAAATCTCTTTTTGATCGTATCTGTATCATCAGAGCCTTGTTTCCTTTTCATAAATCCAGTTTATTTACTGATGGGACAGGTTACAGTAGTAGTTTTCATGGTGATCTGCAGATCCCATAGAAAATAGCGTGGCAAATCACAAGTCCACTGTCCACAGACTTCAACTAGTAGGGGTTCACTGGAAAAATCTTGGGGATCTATAAATTCAAAAAAATTGAAAACGTCAGAACTTAAAAGTTCTCAATGTTTTTAATAGACATCCCCATTTTTCTTCTGACAATCCTGAAGAAAGCATAATTAGCAACCCCTTCAATCTCATGTAGAATGGAAACATTTTTCACTTCATGTCCTTCTCTACAGTTGCGAGATTGCCTATGAAAGCAAATTAAAAGATCAGTTTGCATGAAAATGTGGTACAGCTGTAGGATCAGCAGAAAAGCACAAAGAGAACAGATTTAAATACACCAAGTCTGTGCTTTAGTACAAAGAACACTTGTACAGTTTTCTAGCATTTTTAACCTAAAATCATAAGGGAAGTATCGTGACCAAAATCATAAGCACTTGCAGTTTCTATCGTGATGTAGTTGGTAGTGGAAGAGGGAAAAGGTCTGATTAACTGATTCAATTCGCAATCTCTCCAGGGAAGTCACCCTGTTCTTAGGAGATGGTACCCTGAGATAGCCAGCCCAGGCAAAAGGTAGGATTTCTTCTGCAGCAAAGACATGGCCTCAGGTGGAATGAATGAAACAAAATCTTGAATTAATGTTGACAGAGGCACTGAGTAATTAAGAGAACTTCACTTTCATGTTTGAAGAGGCACATGTATTGCAATGAAGTGTCTCTGAAGAGCTCTGTGGTGATTCAGGACTTACAAATTTACTGGCACTGACTCAGTACACTTGGCATGTAGCTGGTTGTTCAAATCCTGCCTTGGAGAAATTGCTTTCCTCTGCTGATCAGTGCAGGGAAAATGTTAAGTCACGCAACACTGCACAGACAGGGAGTTTGCTAGGACATTTCACAGAACCTGGGATCATCCACCCATAGAGATTTTTAAAGCCCACTGCATGCCTTAAAAAGTAATGTTGTGAAACAAAAAGAAATTAAGGCCCATAACGTTTTGATTTTGGAATGTCAGTTCTTCCCACTTGCCTTCTGCTGCACGAGGTGGTAAGATTTACAGTGTTTAAAGGTTTACATTGAAATCTAGACCAGCAGACCTAGAGCAGGCAGCTACTTCTCAGGTTGCTTTGCTCAGCAAGGCAATATCATCACACGCCAGTTTGTAAGAGCCTGGCCCCCTGACACCTGAGTGGAGACCAGAAGCCACGTCCTGAACAGGTCCAACAGGGAAAATTTTCACAAGTGCATTAGTAAGCATGGGAAACACAATTTGGCATCCTTGTTATTAGACATTGTTACCAAAGCCTACTATTTATCCTGCTGTTGCAATATTCAATATGTGAAGAGACAGGGATGCTGTGCTAGACGGACAAGTCATCCGATCCCCCATATCCATTAATCCAACAGGAATCTGAAATCAGCAAACTGGTGGAGTCAATTAAAAAATCTAGCTCTCATGTGGTTGTGACTGTTGGAACATCACGGGCCTGAGAAAGCCCTGTCAGGTTGCACAGAGTCCCAGCCTGTCGGTACGAAGCCGACATTGCATCCATCTCCCACGCACACAGCCGATCACAAGGACTGTGACCACCTTTCCAGTGAGACCTTAGAAGGACTCCACTGATCCTGGCATAGACATGAAGCACAGAAAAAGAAAACATGCTGCTGTCTCAAACATTGAAGCTCTCATATTTCCATAACCATATATAGAGCAATGAGCTGATTACTCACTTTATATATACCATTTTATACCAACAGCTGGCAGCAGTGACTTGGCCTGGCTTTTTTCTCTGACTTTGTTTTCACAGCTCCATAGAAACTACCAACAGTAAAAAAACAAAGTTTTGAGGCTATGCTGTTACAAAGGCATCTTTGCTCCCACCCCTCCTTGCAGAATGCTGAGGTGTATTTTCACCCATTATCAGGCTGAAGTCATCATGGATAGAAAAAGTGTGAGATTGACAGGATCAGCTCTCTTCTACCACAGCCAAATCCTGACAGGCCAGAGAGGAACAGGGCTGAGAGCCACAGGAAGGGAACTTGGCAGAGAATACAAGAGGTGACAACCTCAGATTGTGGTGTTGCTCTAGGTGGACCCCAGGTCCCAATCTCAAAAGGTGAGCTAAAGACACCTACATTTACCCACGATTGGCAAGTCATTCCCATGTCTAGGTCAGGATTACCTTAGCTTCCTTCCATAGTTATTTCCATGAAAATACCTGAAATGCCATCCTTTGGGGAAAGCTTGCCAACTGCATGAATGACAAAGCACAAAAGAATTACTTAACCTGATCTTTGTGTATTAAATAACTTAAGGGCCTTGCTTAAGCCAGCACCAATACATTTTCAAGAGGTTTTGCTTGACTTGTTTTTTAATGCCAGTGTCCAGAGAGAAATCTGAAGAGTTTTAATGTAGTCAAGGTATCTACATAGCGTTTCAAGATACAAGCAGCCTTGTGAAGTTAAATAAAGGGCTATTCTTTACTTAACAGGTGTGGTAGACTACGGCTAATACAGCATGTGATGCCATGAAAACGACACAGCTTTTTCCCTCCCCACAGTGTGGTTTCAGTGGCTGAAAAGTAAACCATGGAAATCAACACATTAAAAATCCTGCATAGTTCAACTATGCTCAGACTTTGCCCTCAATGACTTCCACCCTTTTTTAATGGGGAGAAGCTGTGCACCACAAATTTCTCCCAATTCAGAACAGAATTTTATACTTTACCAATTCAGAGAAAAAATGCAATCCAAGCCTTAAGTATTTGATATCAAAGATCAGTGCAAGATGAGCTTTCTTTCAAATGCCCTTTGTTTGCAAGGTAATTTTTAGGTGCTTCACCCACAGAATAACAGGAGTACACAGACACGAAGAAGCTGACAAAAAGGTACTACAACTGAAAACCAAGTGAAGAAATCAAATTGCACACAAGTTTATAATAAAAACAACTATAGCTTTAGCTACACATAACACATGGGTAATTTTTCATTATGAATTTTGTGAAAATTATTACTAATAAAGTCCTTTTGAGAAGTGCATACCCCAAAACATTTTTCCTGGCACCTTTTCTTTTTTTGCAAACTTGTAATTTGCAGACTTTCACAGGAAAGCCTAATAAAGCTGAAGAAAGAAATCCACAGGGCCAGACTAAAGCATGACTGCAACCCAGTCACAGCACAGGTTGGTGCATTTCCCCACTTCGCATCCCCGCTGACCTGTTGTTATGCAAACAGCATTTGCCAGAGTCTTAACTGGAGGAGGCTCCACAGCTGTAATTACACCACCTTGGAAAAATCTTTACTCTTCAGTAACTTGGCTACTCATCAGTACTCTTGGCTAACTCATCATTTACAACTGCCTTTACTGAAGCTGCGCTCACCTGGCTACTGCCTTCAGTGTGGGAAGGGCGCCTGGCTGAGGGAGAGGAACATGGAGCTGCACGATGGTAACACCCATGTGTCCAGTCCCAGCTCTGCAAAATGAGTCATTGCCTGGCCCTGGGAAAACTGATTAATTTTCATATCCAATTTCATTATTTGCCTCACAAGAATGCTGGGGAGATTAGTTAACACCTGTATTTAACTTAAACATAGAAATACAGGAACTATCACGATTGATAAGAACAAGAATAAGGAATGCCTTAAAAAAAATAATCAACAACAAACAGGTTGCACAATCTAAAACTCAGATCTCATTTTTGTTACTAGAAACTGGTTTAACTTTAGGGCTGAAGTTAGCATCTGAGAAGGAAAACCAATTGCTTACTGAAACAATGCTGGATACTCTTGTCCATGCAAGTCACACCAAACAATACAGGAAGTTTAATAAAACAAGACGCCTGAGAAAAAGCAGCGCTAGAGCTGAACTTCCCTTTGTAAGAACCTCTTGTAAAGGTTTCTATCCCAAAAGAGTAACCACTTCAAGAAATGAGCAGTGGGCAAATGCCCCAATATGCTACTATGGCCCTACAAAAGGTCCAGCTGACTCTACCCGCTCTCTCTTGCCACCAGGTGAGTGGCCCACACTTTCCTTCTCATGAATTCATGGCAAAGCAAAAGGGAAGTCCTTGCTGACACAGGCACAGACACCTGCACTGCAGCAGCAAATGCAGCTGCTCTTAACCTGTGCTATGCTTTCACCTGCCTGCAGAGTGGATATTGTAAACAATTCCAGCAAATTTAATCAAGGCATGTTTCTAAAAGAGTGCTTTGGGATTTTTAGATGAAAGGAAATGCTTAGAGGCAAGTTACATTAGTTCCATTGCTCCTACCGCTACTAAAAGGATGTGTACCCTTCCTGTGTTAAGTCATGTAAACTCTTGTTCAATTAAAGAACTACATTCCTGTGAGATATATTTTCTAGCACATCTTCTCCACCTATAAAATAGTACATTAGAAAGACTCATTGGTCTTTCAGAAGCATTCCCTTTTTCAGAAGGGAAGAGGCCATGTAACACATCATTATTCAATATGCAATCTAGATTAACACATGGTTATTGCAGCCCTATTTTTCCTCCCAGAATACCAAAAACAGAGGACATTACTATCTCCTTATCAAGGTCAGATGTGCTTTGTTCCTTCTTTGTATCCTCTCATTAACCTACAGCTTTCCTAAAAGTTCCCAGAAGGACAAAACACTCCAGTCTGAATTTGAGCAAAACAGAACAGCAGAGAAAGAATACAGATCGGATCTCCTAAACATTTAGCTTGAGTATTATATGCCTCAGAGATTAAGCCAAAATGGGAAAAAAGTTCCTGGGAATACAGGAACCCCTTCCCTACTCTCCTTATGAACCTACCTCATTTTTTTGCTACTTCCTGAACAAACAGTAGAGGAAACTGGTTGCAAAGATGTGTTTAATTCCTCTGTGACTCCAGTGCATAATAAAATGAGGAAATAACCAAACTGCAACCATGTTAATTTTCATTTCTTGAGAAATGGGGAGTGTGTGTACGGAGAGGGTGGAGGTAACATGTTGTACTTAAATGATGACAACTTTACTTCTCAGCAAAGAACCCATAAAACTTCCCTCCTAGAGTTAAAGGTTAGAACAAAAACTAGCCAACCTAAAATACTATCATCACAGTGAAGAAATCAGACAATCACTAGTCTGAGTCTCTTTTCTTATCTGAATTAATTTTCCATTGCTCTGAAAGTTTTGAGTTTCTTCTATTGTAATTGGACAAACCCAATTATTTTGAATGAGAATTTTCATTTTGTTATGTAGTAAAGTTCTTAAATGTTTCTGGCAATTTCCCAACTAAAATCTCAAAAACTTATTTTACAAAACAAAAATTAAAAAATCCTGTTTTTTCCCCCCCCATTTAGAACATTTGCTATATTTGTTTGTATATAATTTCCTTGCATCAAAGCTGCATTTTCCAGAGAGCAAACTATTCCCTTATATCCTTTCCTTTTGCACATGTTCTTCTTACCTGCTTCATAGATATTAAGGCATTACTGCTACCTCAGTCACAAAAATCCCACTTTACAGTGGGATCCTTACTGTAACGAACAACTTTACTGTGTTGTTCCATCAGATCACAAAAGCATGTCCATTCCAAGGAGTACTACAAAAAGGTAACTTTGATCCTCAAATTCTCCCTCCAAAATGGAAAGCCTAGAAATCTTGTGGCAGCTGACAACATCCAAAATTCACCTCAAAACTGTTACAGATTTTAAGTGAAAACTCAGGGTTTCATTGAGGGTATTGGCTACATGCAATAGCAAAACCATTACTTGACATTCCTTTTAGTTACCAGAACAGACAGGAACAGAAAGAGCATCCTGATTCAGGATCAAATGCAGAAATCAGGGTGGATGCCCAGCCAAGCTGCACGCTCAGCAGGTGTCAGTGGCCTGTGCTGACTGCTATCGTTCACAGCTACTTTGGAGTTAACCCCACACAAAGAATCTACATTCTTTGACACATCCTGCAGGCAAAGGCCCAGAGTTGGGCCTTCGCTCATCTGTACAACATCAAAGCAACATACAGTTACTTACCATTACAGTATCACAAATCAGAAAGGGAATACCCAAACCCCATGTCCCCATTTTGTGCAGCTGATTTTTTCTCCTATCCCAGAGGACTCACTGAAACAATCTACTTTTGAAACGCATATCTGGACCACACCTAAACCAGTCATTGGACTTGGACTGTTTTCAAAGGCTGGTAATGAGCTAGCCTTATGAGTCCTTTGTACTGCTAAAAGCATTTCCCCCCTCGCTGCCAGTGCCACACATGAGATTCTACTTCTAGTCAACATCTGGGATGCAGAAACCTCACACACTGAAGCAATACATGGCTCTCCTGCTGTGTGAGAGTCCTTCCAACAGTTACCCTTGCAGCAAATAGATGTTACTTAAAGGAGACCTGAAGACAATGCACATTGAGGACTTGGTGTTGGGGTTGAATGTTCTCCTTCCTCTTACACACGAGCTATCGTGATACATGCGTAGGTCTTAAATTGGGCTGGTATTTAAAGCTGAACAATGGAAGGGGTTCCCAATGCCACAACTGAATTCAATAAAGCTATACAACAATTCCACTTGGGAATAGGCTTGCTGCCGTCTTGAATGAGCTAACAGCAACATCTTGTAATAAAAAGGGCTCTTTTCCAAAACCAGTGCTTTGCAGACAATGCACAGAATTGGCTCCGGCTGCTTCTGACCACCGACCCACCTCACTGCTGCCTGCATCCCAGCACGTCTGTGCTACACAAAGCCTGAGCTGTCCTCTGCCATCAGCACATGCAGCATGTTAGGGGCTGAGAAAGGCACTGCTACTTGTGAAACAGATGTGCTTCAACCGCATTTTATGCTGTTTAGTGCCTCCATTTTGGGGAACACAAGGGCTCCTCTTCGCGAGAGAGGAACTGAACTGAGAGGTGTAAGCCACAAAGCACAGGAAGATGTGTTAGCTTCCCACACACAGCCTGCCAAACACACTTCTCCCAGGGCTTGGCCCTCAGGGAGGGCTGCCAGTAGCCTCCTACTATGCCAAACTGCAGAACTGCTTCCCTGTCAAATTACAGGCTGAGGGATTTGGATGAGACCTACCATTTCATGTCAAAACTTCATTCTGCATTAGCAGAGCAGAGTCCAAAAGCCTAATGCGAAACAGAGACCTTTAATCTGAAAACCAGGCTCTGACCAGGTGGGAAGCTGCAGCTCTACTGCAATCACTGCATCTGTGTAACCTAGTGACCAGCTCTCAACCTCGAGCTGTACATCCTTCTCACACGCCCACGGCTTTTGGTGCTAGGGTGTTTTTTTTCTGTTTGTTTGTTTTCTAAAAATGTGTTAAGAAATAGGAAAAAAAAACACCAAAAAACTCCTAACATTTGAAAACTGAATTGAGTAATCTTTAAAGTGTAGTTTCGTAAGAGCTACATTGAAGGGCGTAGATCATATAGACTGAGTTTGTGTTCTGCAATCAGGGAAGGAGGAAGAGTTTTGCAGAAGTTGGTCAGTGCTAGAGGGCAGTGGGCTGAGCAGTCACTTGCTTCTCTTTGACTGACAGCATTATGGTCAGCTTATCTTGGATGAACTGACATAGGAGCATATCGATATATGGGATAAAGGCACAGATGTGACAGCAAGACTCTCAGAGGCCTATATCCTGCACGTATAAGATTACAAGATGTACCTATGTACCTATACAAGAAGGCTGTATCTACGTTGTGCCGAGTAGTACAATGTATTCTGATTTCCTGGCCATAAAGGACCTCGTATCTCACCTTACTGCTACAGTAAGTCACTTGACTGCAAGAGATGTGCTTGGGTGGACAAAACCAACATGACCTGCAAATCACATGAAGACTATGTGCACATATCATAAGCACTTATCCTGTATCTCAAAAGGCACCAAGGCAACGGATGACCACACGCACTTTGAACTGGACTATCTGGTGTGTTATACACAGCCCACAGGACACTTGTGTGGTATATGATGCCACTTTACTGACCCATGATTTGAGATGCCATTAGGTGGCGAAAATGTTTTTTTTCTGTTTCTGTAAAATAGTAAATGAAACAGCATTATGGCAAGTATATGCTACCTTATTATTTCAATTTTCATGTCTTCTGCTTGTACTTTGCTTTAAGATTGAACCTTGGCTGTAGGCCTAATACAAGCAGCCCTGTATGCTTAAACAGCACGACAAAATCAGTGTCTCACTGGGTACTAAGCTTGCCAAACTATATTATAAAGACAAGTCAAAGAAAAACCAACCAATGCAACTTGTAAAAAAGACAGCAACTTTGAGCCCAGAACACCCAAGATCATGTGCTGACAAGTGACCACATGCATGTGTGCATGCAGCCTGGCTTGTTCCTAACCCAAGAACTCCATAAGCCAGAAAAACAAACTTTATTCTTTTCCCTGAGTAGGAGTTTGTTTATCGCAAGTACTTGCTTCAGACATCTGACTAGGAAAAGAGTTCCAAAGTGTTATTTTTCTTCAATAAAGTCCTTACGTATTGAATAGGCTTGAGGGATTTGATTGTAGCAGTCGGGCAGCCACAGGAACTGAGGTCAACATAGAGGCCTTCTTCCAGCACACAGTGATTGTCAGTGATTTCCCCTCGGTAATACAGGAGCCAACTACAAGATTAATGTAACAAAAGAGATTAGCTGCTCTAGCTGCTTATTAACAGAAAGGGTTTTTTCAAGATTTAATTCTTGCTAAGGAAATAAGGAATAAAAAAAAAAAAATAATTGTTCGTTCTTGTTAAGCTTAAAAGGTGACTTGAAAGGCTATTTGACAAAGTAACCAAAGCAGGAAAATCAAATTGTGTGAAATTTTGCTTCAGAGTCACGAGACGTGAGTGGAATGCAGACACTTCTATTGTACCAAGTTTTCAAAATCTGGAATAAATTCTAATTTGAGTTAAAAAGAGTCACAGTAACTGTGCAAACTTTCCACAGGGGAAGCAAAATGCATACTACCCAAACCAATGACAGGATGACAGTTACTGAGATACATTGCAAGACAAAGGGTCTAAGACATGATGAAGTACGATGGGCATGTGTTATGCACTTTCAGCCTTCTGAAACTTGGTAACATTTTTTAAAAAAGTTTATATTACTTAAAATGGTGGCATGTAAAACAACAGACTTACCATCCCCGAAGAACCTTAAAAGAACATGGTATGAATGATGGAAAATCAGAAACTTCTGCTGTGAAATCTATACATGCTCCTTGGAAATGTGTATTACTGAAAGCTTTGAGCTACAAGAACAAAAAACAAAACCAATGACTAGAAGGAAAATGAACAGATTATCATTAATGCAAACAGAGACAGCTGTGGTCTTAGAGAAGTACCCATTCAGTTTACAAAGATACATTAAAGAGAATGAATTATCATTTAAAGAGTCTTTTATATTTCTACAGCTGCTTTATTATTAGAAAGATGATGTGTTTTTTGTCTCTGGGCCCAGTAACAGGATGCTTCCCAGTGATGCTGAGACAGTGGAATCAAGTATAAGTTCAGCTGCAGCTGAAGTGGGCCCAGAGAAAAAGAGAAGGCTAGGACTGAAGGACATTATCTTCCATCCAAAGTATCCCTGAACTGCAGCTAACTCTTGCTATACAGCTCAGCAATTCAGTGTTCAAAACAGGACAGGGAAGCACTGGCCAAAAGATACAGGCCTACTGCAGCCAAGGTGCCTTGAAATCTTCTGTGACCACAGTGATGACTGGTGGTTTCCCACTTGAAAACTAGTAGGAGAAATTCTGGGGGAAGTGGGTACAGCCTGGTAGACACACCATAAGCTTCTGAAGTTCTCCTTTGCTGTTTTTACATGTCATGGTGAAGAACTTCAAGCCATGCTGAACCATACTCCACCTGTAAGATGTGATCAGCTCACTCTGAAAAAGCAATAAAGTTGAAAGTGCTGGAGTAGAAGAAAAAAAGGGGGGGGGGAGGGGAAGGGAAAGCCAAAAGGAAAGGGGGGGAAAAAAATGACACAGTCTATGATCTATAGTAAAGTTGCCTAGAATTCAGTACTCTCAGGCTGCCAGTGTGTAACTCAGGTGAGTTTCACTTTAAAGCCTGAAAGAAAGACTGGAAAAGAATGAGAAATTCAACTGTATCAAGAGAACAAACAGCTCATATTCTGTAATGGAAGAAAAACACGATGGCTGTTGCAAGAGCTACTTCCCCCTTTCTGCCCCAAATTGGCCTAACTTACTGCCAAATAAAAGAAACCTAGTGCTTTTGCCAGTACAGAGTGAGAAGGCCAAATACAAGTATCAGCAAATGATTTTATGGAAAAGCTCAGTCTGCGTTTTAAAAATAATTGAATAGGTCTCCTGTTAGAAAAAACAAGAATAGCTTAACCTGGCCTTGCATGCTGTAACTGCAAATTGAAAAACACAAATCAGCCATAATATAATGAATAATGTGCAACTGATTTTTCTGTAAATATAACTCCATGGCTATCTCACAAAGCATCTATTTAAGCTGTAATTATATAGTATTTCCTACCCACTTAGAGCTTTTTACAAAGAAATATATATCCTTTCTTTCACAGGCCAGATGCTATGCAAGGCTTTTAAAAAATATCTGCAATTCATTTTTATACAGAATCTCATGTATAGATGGTCTTATTTTAACAAAAGCTGGGGTGAAGCACTGATTCCTCAGTGAAAATATTGTGTATTAGCAATTAGTCTCAAACTGCAGCTATCTCTGCTGTCAGGGTTTGACACTACTAAGATGAGCTTTCACTTCCCAAAAACTCAAAGGACAGCATGTTAAAATACAAACACAAGTTATCACAACAATTACCTCTGCTTCCTAAACCACCTGACAAGTCAGCTGCTATTGAAAGAGGCTGGGCAAAATCAAGATTTTTAATAAATAAAATGAATGGCTTTTTAGAGTTGGTGATTTCAGGTATTCTTAGATTATATGTACTTTCTTTCTTAGGGAGCCTGGCAGTAGGAAAAGGTCAGAGGAGTTAATGAGAGATATAAGAAAATCTAGTTGCTTTTCAATTTCTTGATGAGCAACTAAAAACAAAAGTGAAAAGAAGACAGACTCTTCCTTGTAGACAGCAAAAACAGTTCCCTTAGCTCAGACATTTGTTTATTACAGGTGGGAGAATGTATAAACATTCAAAATAACTGGTATATGGCTTATACATGAGTCAAACATTAGGATGCTTAGGGTTTTGGTAGCTCATATGTAACAGGATTTTAAGTTCCAAACTAAAAGACTGCTACATATATGGAAACTTTTATTTTACTTTGCGTGGGATTTTTTTTAATATTTATCCTAAAGATCATCCTTATTTTTAGCAATTACATTTTCCCATTTCCCCTCCTAAAAGAACTATAGCATTTTGAACCACATTCTGCCTTCCCTAGCTTTAGGGCAGAATCCTATGAAAACAAGGGCTAAGATATGTCAGGATATTATTTTTTTAAAAAAGACTGCTATAAGAGAACACAAAATGCAAAACACTTTTTGCAACACTAGAAGACTTCTGTATTTAAAGGTGCCTGTGCATAAACACATAGATTTTTTCACATACCACTGGAAATAAAGAGACTGTAAAGCAAAATTTAATGAAACTTCAAAGGTTTGACTATTTTCAACATCTGCAAAACCAGATTAAATCACTCATAATAATATTTTTTTGGAGATCCTGAAAAATCAAAAGAGTTGCAGATGGAGAGAAAATAATCTTCAACTGTTTGTATCCCACTGTCTTCCTCCGATTCGGTTATTTCATCCGGTATCATCAACTAAGGCCTCACTGTGAACATACTTGTAAGTCTTTGATTTGGCCACAAACTGCCATATGAACAGGTCTGGCAGGAAATCAGTGTTTAAGACTAAAATAATACACCAATTATGTCTTCAGATAGGAAACATTTCCTGCAGACCAGGGTTAACCATAAAAATGTAGAAGGAGAATACCTGGAGAAAAGGAAGGGTGTGGTTCACCTGCAAAGTTGACCTACAAAACAATGTCTGCATTTCCCATGTGCTGATGGCTATTATATCCATTCAAGGAAGGCAAAGCAAAACTGTGTCCAGATGACAAAATACATCAGTTTTCTGAAACAGAACCATTGAGCTCTAAAGCCTCATTTATCTGAAAAAAAGTGTCATGTTTCTTGAAATGAAGTTTTTTAAACTGACTTAATTAAAAGCATTTCTTAGAGAGAGCAATATAACCACTTAAATCATCACCCATGCTGGCAGCACACTCCAGGGCAGAAAAAAATAGAAAATAAATCAAACCACTAATGCAGGAAGCAGGGAGAGCCCTGTAGGGACAAAGTTGAAGAAACAGATCATCCTTGGTGATGAGCACAGACACTTAGAGAAGGTTTTTGGTTTTGAAAACTATCATAAAGGAATATTAATGGAACATTAATGTATGATAAAGAGTGAAAGAGCAAGACCCTAAACTAACTTGTTCTTGAGACCAGAAGTGAAATAATACGAACTTGCTTCCTAAGTTCTCAGCAAGTCAGACACGACTTACAGGAAAATAGTTAGAATGCACCACAGAAGAGATTTATCACAGCTTTGTTATATTCAGAATGTGGCCAGTTATGACAGGGAGACTATAAAAACAGAGCTAACAACAAGCAAGACTAGAAAACCCAACCTCCCTGGGTTGATGCACGTGAAGGTTTGAAGAGTGCAGTTACATTTTCTGCAGTTTATACTTTCTTCTTCACCTGATATGTGAACAAGATAGTGACAAACCAGATGCAATGCAAAATAATGGAAAGAATATATGCCACAAAGAGAAAGATGAATGCTTATGATGGTGAGTTTCCAGAAACAAGAAGGAAAGAGGAAGAAAATGAACAGCTATAGAGACTCAAAGTCACTCAAAACTTACTAAATCACTTGCATTTTTGAGGACAGAATATGAAAAGTTCTGAACTGGAATAAAGCAGAGTGGAACATCAGCAAAGTCAGCCTTTATACATCTACTAGTTTCCTCCATCAATGCACTGCTGTACGGAGATAATACTGAGCAAGACATTCAACATTACCTGTATTTAATTATTAAATGTAGTTTAGTGCTACAGAATATTATATAAATGTCAACATACCAAATGTGGAGGCTCATTCATTCCAAGAGGTTCCTGAAATAAAAAATATATTTATATGCATATAAATAAAAAAACCAATAACAATTAATTTCCTAGAAGACATGGCAAGTTCCTGAAATTTTCTACTTGGAACTTCAGAGCAGAGGAAAACACATTTCCCATGCTCTTGGCAAAATTCTCTCCCCCAGCCTCTGCCATCAGCTCCTGTAAGCCCACGACTACTTGCCTGACTCTTCAGTCCTCTTCCACACAGAGAACATGCATCAGCATTAATCAGTTTATATAATGTGGATTAGAGGCCACATATAAATGTATCTTTATTTATTTCTGAGATTATTTCTTGAAAAAGAGACAGAATTCAAAACAACAGGAGACTGGGACACCCCTTTCAACATGTACTCTTCAAAATAAGGTTAAATGTTTTTTCCATTTTCAGTGCAATACCGTAATTTATTATATGCTCATTACTGAGAATTGCCTTTGTTTTGCATTATGGCTTTGACAGTTCTGGCATTAATCTAATTTGGGCAAGTTGCACTACCTCGGATTTAATAATGGATTAAGACTATTTCCTGTCTTTATTCACTATGTGTATTACAAATATTTTAGCATAAAAACAAGGGGGAAAAATTCAGACCTGTATTATACAACAATAAATGGGCCTGATAAATTCTGAAGCATTTTTATATATGTTATCAAATAGGCATTATAAGTTACTATGCTTTAAGGCAAATTGATCTTCCTAGGCTAGTTTATTCTTCCCATGAATGCAGGCTGCTATGGGGAAGTTGCTATGTTATGCTGATAACTTTCTCAGAAGATAGAAAGAACCAAAGTCTCAACTTCAGTCTCCATCCTGAACAGACTCACTGTATGTTCACAAGAGCATGTAACAAGAGGACAAGGGGGTAATGGTTTCAAGCTAGAGAAATGTAGATTTAGGTTGGACATTGGGGAAAAAAAGTTATTTAATATGAAGGTGGTGGATCACTGGAATAATTAGTCTAGAAAGGTGGTGGGGGCCCTGTCCCTGGAGACATTCAAGGTCAGGCTTAATGGCAGCTCTGAGCAACCACGTTTAGTGTGAGATGTCCCTGCTTATTGTAGGGGGGTTGGACTAGATGACCTTTGGAGGTCCCTTCCAACCCAAGACATTTTATGATTCTATGTCATCCACAAGGGCCTTTAACTTGTTTCCACGTAAACTGACTAAACAGTATAACCCACATGGTAACATTACCATACTCTCTAATCTCCTAAGGTCACATTTCTTTTAAGTTTTGCCCTTAAGTTCTGGTAACTCACCAACTTGATAGGTCGAATTGACAAGATGATTTTACTAGATCCTCCCCAGTCAAAGAAACATTTATATTTTCCTTTCTCCAACACATATTGCTCTCCACAGAAATGTTTCTGTTGATATGCGACCCACCTGCAGAATGACACAAAAATTAACTGTAAACACCACATTTTTCAGTGTCATTTGATGAACATGTTAAGAAGTTAAATAGAACAATTTTCTGAGGTTTCTTGGTAAGTCCATCTGACAGACAGCGTAACATAAAACACTATGAGAGGTGCAAAACTGTCACACACTTGATTTTCTGCTTCTAGGTTGCAAACAGTACTGTGACAAAGACACAACTTTGGGTCTCTGCCTTTCTATCACATACACATTCAGTATGAGATGATGCCTTGTTTAGAAGCCCAGAGGAAAGACACTTAAAGTTTTTGAACCTCTTCTGTTCAGCATCCCCCCTTTCTTCCAACTTTTCCAGCTGGATTTAAGAAAAAATGGTGCAAGAAAGAGAAGTAAATAAGGATGTCGTGATAGGATGAGAAAAGCAGAAGACTTCAATTCCTGGCAGTTTATGCTTCTCCCACCCTGCTTCCCTGTTGTGCTTTAGGAAGAAAGAAAACCCAACTATGTGAGAGTGAGGGTGCCTCCAGCCCTGCACACATGCTCATTGGCACTGGCAAAATCAGATGGAGACTAGTTAGAGATGCCACTAACCTGGCCACGTTTGGTGGTGCATTCGCCTCTTAGTTGCCCAGCACCCAGGACTGTTACATCAAGGTTATTAGGGGGCATCTCCTTTCCTAGTCATTTTAGCACCCATTTATGAATCTGCTTGTCATTCATCTAATGCTTTTTTAAACCTCCTGGTCCTATCTCCTAACACAGCCTACTTCAGCAGCAAGTTCCAGACACTTTCTGCCTCCAGTGTGTTTCAGGCTTTTTGTTCCCCATCTCTGCATCTGTTTTAAAGCCATCTTCACCTAGTTCTGTAAAGCTTCCAACAACAGTTCTCTTGCAGGATTCTGCGAATGCTGCTGCTTTAAGCTTGTCTACTCACTTTGGGATTCTACAGATTTCATTCATTATCTGTCTTCAGCCATCTCTTCTCCCAGTTGAGTCCCAGCCTTTCATCCTTGTATCTCATCCTCATGAGACACTGGTATCTGATCGCATCCAATCTCTATGTGAGCAGTTCAAATCCCTCAACTGTTGCTACCTGTTCCTAAGTTTGAAGCTTTTTTAGTCTCACTACCCCACTAGGGTAGGCATGACAATGTTAACACTGTACTTTTAAAACTACTATTAACATCTGGAATTTCGACTCACATGATTCCATGGTGCTTTTTCCCATAACATATTTTATGTTTCAGCACACAGTATCATTCTTCATGTACACTACTACTCTTGTGCCTATAATAGCCTACTCTGTCATTCCTATAGAGTTGGCAGCTCCCCTGCTTATCCTTTCTGTGAACCTCTGCAGTATCTGCTCTATCAGAGCTGTAATTTCATTCCAAGCATTCTAGTTTCCCCATAATATTTTTTAGGCTTCTAGCACTTAAGTTTTGCCCTTGCTCTATCAGTTAATACTGCACCAACAGACATTGCAAGTGATCTATTTTACCTTCCTTATTTATTTCAATTGTGCTGTTTATTTTCCTCCTGGACTTCACACATGCACACAGAAAGTTAGGCAAGTGCACTGTGTAGGCTGTAGCAGCTTCAACCAGGTGCTCTTCCACATGCATTGGTTTAACCCCTTGCTTTTAGCTTAGGTAGTTCTCTAGAGAAGTGCCAGCAGCCTGACTTATAAGGCACCACCCATTCTTCCTGTACAGGCTCCACCTCGCCTAAAAGGTATCTCACTTCTTAACACACCTAAAATTTCTCTTCTCTGTTACTGCCAAAGCTCCCCTATCATGAAACTACCTCTGGAGGGACATCACAAGCTCTGTCTACTAACAAGGATGCCCAGATCCAAGTCAAGACATAGGCATGAGCTTTAGAGAAAACCAAGTATCTGAAAGAAACACTGTTCTCTCCCAAATGTTTACTCCCTGTACTGTGTGAAATATACTCTGTTAAAAGATGTACCCAATCCCAACTGTGCACAAAAATACTTAATGCTTCAATCCATTTATTTCAGCAGACTTACACTCCACTTCTCACAAGAATCGATCCCGTCTCTGGGCCAAATCCAGCCATCTCCAAATCAGGAATTTCTTCGTTGACAATGTCTAATGCCTTCCCATCTTCATCCTCAGACTGAAAAAGTGCCACTGATGACTCTATGAAATCCTAAGAGGTAGCACAGGGGTTAGAAGAGAGAGAGGCCTGTCACTGCTCAGTGACACTTCACAAGATAAATAATTTTGGAAGAGAGTTGCAGCCTCAAAGATAGCATTTTGTAAAGCAGTGAAGGGGCTTAGCTCCCTTGTGTGTATCTTTATGGCATATTTTGGCATTGCAGGGCCTAGCTGGAAGCCTGGCAATCTGATATGGCCTTCAGTGGTTTCCACCGAAGAGAGGAAGAACTTGCTGCCCCTGAGCACCATCCTTTTTTCTATGAGGGTGACTGAGAGTGCAAAGAAGCCTGTGTGGGAGAGAAGGGTTGGAGATTCAGCATTGATCTTCTGACAGTTTCACCAATGACTACTCCAAGCATCCCCATCACTGTAGACTTTATGTTCTCCTTTCTAATCCCTTCCCAGAGACAAAGTAATTATCACAAAAGAAAAGACTGGTCAAGATCATCTTTCCAGAACAAGGGGTTTGCATTTTTTTGATACATCCATTGTATAACTCATCACTAGAGCTATAAAATAAATCCCACATTACACAGTGACGTTCTGTCTTACATGGCTGCGTGACATTGCTTCATGCTTTCAGCTAGCATACTTGCTTGACCAGATTACTTGCACAGCTTCAGATTATTTTAATTTGGGTTTCAAATTTCCAACTTTTTAAACACCTAGCAATTTAAATACATAGCCCAATCAATGCTTGGGGAAATGGAAAATAATACTTCCTTCAACTTCTAACAAAAAAGCATTAAATCAATGCCATTTAAGTGTTTCTGAAACATTCAGCAATCCTATATTAAGTTGAAAATAAGTAAGTCTTGCAAACAAGAGCCATCAAGCAAATACAGGAGCCAAAGCAGAGTCACAAACATATCAGTTGAAAATAAGTAAGTCTTGCAAACAAGAGAAAAGGCCATCAAGCAAATAGAGGAGCCAAAGCAGAGTCACAAACATATTAGGCCACCATCACAGGAATTACTGCACTAATACCTGCTGCTGGAGTACCAACCAGAGAGAAGTATGCTTAAGGCTACACTGAGAACACTTTGAAATGAAGGCCAGTACAACCATGCAGAGAGATTCACTTGGTCAGGTGAACCTGACCAAACAGGCTCTTTGGAGGACACCATGCCTTTGTACAGGATTCAATCATAATGAATAACGAAAATCAATTTTAGAACAAACATTTGAAGTGGATCAACCTCTCTGCACTGTTTACAGGATACTAAGGCGTAATGGAACAAATTCTGTAGTAAAACTGGTTTTCCTACAATGTTAACCATCTTTTTTCATTTATTTAAAAAGTTGTAACTACTTCACATATACACTAGAACTTAAAAGTGAAAGGTCTGCTTAAATCATCATGACCAACTGCAGCTATTTAGAAAAAAATTTACTAGTGCAGTTTTAGAGCAAATGGAAAACATCTACCCTTAACAGCACTAAAGCAAGGCCTTGTTAAAAGTTCCTGAAAACCCATTTAGATCAAATCTGCACATGATCTGACTAAATTTAAAATAGCAAAATCTACCCAAAATTGTAATAACATTTAAAACAGGTTTCAAATTCAGCGATCATTTCCCCCCCCCCCCAAAATTTCCACTACAGCTTCTGTTACAATAAGCAGCAGGAGGAATACTTTAAATTAGACTTTCAGACCAAGGCAAATAATTTTAGACTTGAAAATATTAGCGGGAAACCTCCAAAGGCAAAAAACATACTGTGCTCCACTGAAAGAGACTCAGAAACTTCAGCCTTTCCCTGATCATGACAGTCAGTGAGCAAAATCCAGCTTCACAGGTTCTCTCATTTGACACTGCAAAAAGGAAGGAAACACAACTGCCCCCCAAACCAGCACACAGTTCAAACTGCCGTTCTCCCTTGGGAACGAGCCCTGACCAATACAGATGCTGGTAACAGAGCTAGCAGTATGGTGGAAGATACAATTCTACAAGTCCTTTCTGTATCTGCTTTTGAAACACTTCCCCAATCCCCACATAAGAGCTTGTGACTGTTCACAGCATTGGCAGACAAAAAATGAAAACTCTGCAGTATGCCTACACGCATGTACATCTTGACCACTGTGCGGGGAGGGGCGACTCGCAACAATTCCTCTTTTGTGTGCAATGTCTAACCTTTCTGATTTGTCAGGAAATTAAATTCATGCTGCAGCTCAACTGCAGTCACTGGTATGTGTACAGAAACATGGATTTTCCTAGCACTAACAAGCTCTGGTGGAACCTGTCACGTCTAGTGTTGTGGTGCAGAAACATGTGAATAGCTTTGCATAGCAGTAAGGCACATTGCCAGAGCCAGTACTGACACAGGCTAACGAGGCACGGGGCACCCAGCCTGGCTCTCTGCAGAGCCACTTACGTGCTTCTGTACCACACTCCCTGCTCTGGGAGCACTCCACAAAGACATTTGATCCGACTGTGCCTGGAGCTGACTCAGGTACACAGGGCTCATTATCTTCAGCTTCATGCCATGTAAGCCAGCCTAATTCGTTTTCAGGTCTGAGCTGGCCTTAAAGTTGACACAGTCATGGTCACCTGGTGTCATGACCAAGCCAAAAAACCCAAACAAACAAAAACAACCCACAAAACAAAAAACAACCAAACAAAAAAAACCCCAAACAACTGGATTGGCCCCTACATGAAGCCACACCAGTGAGCACACATTAAGAGCAGGGTCAATGCCCAGCCCTACTCCCTACCTAAGCTGACCATGAATAATGCAACTTGGTTACATTTCAGGAAATCCTTAATCTTCTTCAGAGACTCTTGAATTCATCTGACTAAACCAGAATTTCTAGGGAAGAGCAATAAAGATCAGATATCCAAGAATACCTTCTGTGGAGTCTGGGACCACCACAACCTTCACCACATTCTCCCAATGGAATTTCTGAGATTACAGAGAAGAGCTAGTATGTTTGCTGTGCAGTGAGCAGCCTTAAGCACACAGTACTAGTTTTGGATTTTTGCCCAGGTTCCCTTGAAAACAAGAGTTTGGTACTAAAACATTTTTAAAATCCTGACCTTAAGTATCATATATAAAGTCATGAGGGGAGCATATGGGAAGCCTGAGTGCTGACGTATGTATTGCATGTCAGAGAGGTGGTCAATCTGTTGGTCAGGCTGAACAAGAAAATGCCAGTGAGTCATTTCATTGGCAACCAGCTCATTATGCTACAATTTCAGGAAAGGTATTGTTTATGCATTTTATTATCAGCATATATGTATTAGTATATATTTATATGCAAATTTGAATTATATATGTTGATACATGACTGCGAACGATACATGTCTTTAATACGTTGATGACCTGAACGTCCTAATTATTCTAGGCACGAGCCAAATTAAAAAAGACATGCATATATGTGGAAGGTCATCCCTACTAGGCACGTGTACTATTTTAAGGTTGTAATTATGTCACAGAATCATAAAATTGTTTTCTCCTTTGCCAGCGCATTTAAAGTTACTCGAGCATGCTATGTATGCCTTGAAAATCAAGAAAAACTTAAGATTAGTCAGCAACTGGAGAGGATTTTGGACATTCAAAATGAGTAGTTAGAAGAAAACTCCTGCCAGTTTTTCTCAGAAGCCTGAAAATAAATTATTTAGAGGACACTTTTCTTCAATTCAGTTTACTTTCCTATCTTAAAGTTACATGCTAGGTTCTGATTATAAATACAGCTTTTCCCAGGTGTCCTTCATAAAAATTAAAATCACAGATTGTGAATTTTGTGCCTTTTTTGGGGTTTACATTAATTTTATTTATTTTTTTTAAATAGTGGCTGTTGAGACAGCGAGTGTGTTCAAAATGCCTGTCTTCAACCTTCACAAAATTCCCAGCTCAGGAACATCTCATCTCCTCAGACGAGGAGATGATTAATCTGAATATACAAAACTGAGTAAACTCAGAGTGAAGAATCTAATTATCAAAATAAGCCACTTTTTGCAGTTGCATTTAAAGCTCACAGAGTTCCTATTATAATAAAAAAACCTCAAGTCCCCAGACAAACAAAAACCACCCCCAACCAAAGGAAATGAAGTAGTTCTAATCCCATGTTTCCCTGTCACTGAAAAGTCTAACTTTGCTTCTAATACTGGATTCTGATAGACTTGTTATTATTATTTAATCTATGCTCCCATTAAACATATTTTTGTAGCAGGGATTTTTCCATCATGATGATTTTTGCTGCCAAAAGTTTTTGGCACAAAAATCACCGAGACAGAGGGTAATGCTGTTTTAAGGCTTGCAGCAGCTGCTGTGCTGAAAAGCTATTTTTATTTTAATAAAGAACTACAGTGTACATTTACACGTGTTAAACTTCAAAGTAAATTCTATTCCAGAGACTCAAACAGTTTGAAGTGCAGAAGTGAGATACTTGGAAAATCTGGCAGGTAGACAAGGAATTCTGCATTACACATTCTTTGTATGAACTTTACAAAGGGTATTTAGAACCTGCTTCTGCTTTACAATGTATACAGTGCCATCTAAATTTTGGCAAGTAGGGGAAGAATGAGAGAGAACTTGCGTAAAAAATGGAATGACTAAACCCAAAGCAGCTGTACCATATATGAAGAATAACCTTCCTCTTTATGTATAGAACTCTGCATAATTTGTGTGATGTTCATAAAAGTACTTACAGCCTGAAGGAACCGAAAAGACAGGAGGACACTGTCAGTTCCCCCCCACGAGTGTCTGTCTTCATAATCTCCCTCCTCCAGCAAGTACTGATGGCCTTTGTAGCGTTCTTTATCATAGGCAACCCATCTACAGCAACCACACAAAAATAGAGGAGAAATAACTAAAAGCAGAACAACTGCACACATTTTCCATAATAAATGAAAAGGAAAGACAACAACCTCAGAACTCTAAGACAAGTATCACAGACTCAGCTAACAAACAAAGCAACACTTGTTTAAAATCACAACAAGCACCCATGAAGTGTTTTTTGTGGATCAAAATCCCCCCACATGATTCTTTCTCCAACAAGAGTTTATTTGTGTAATGCTTCTCCATGCACCACCTCCTCTCAGTCAGTCGTATTCCCAATACCAATACTTGGGACTACAGAGGCTAGTATGAATCTAGTGGCCAAAACACTAAACCACAAACTGTCAATGAGAAACAACAAGCAGTAGGTCCCTATCTATGGATAGACAAGTGAATCAAATATATACAATATAATTTAGAAGGTATCTATTTCAGCACTCAATGAATACAACTTTTTAAAGTATTTGGCACAAACAGATAAGGCTCGATTAAAAGAAGGCATTTCCACATCGACTTTGAAAGCTTTAATGGATCTTAATTTGAAAAAGTCCTTCCCCTTCTTTCTTTCTTGTTAGCATTTACATGATTAAAATGTCCTATTAAGTATTAGAACTGCTGTACAAATTCCATTGGCATTGAAATTTGTCAGGCAGTGGTAGCTTTCCTTTTTGTACTGTTTGGTTTACATTAATTCAGCTGTTTAGTTACCACAGCTGCTTAGTTTATTTTATTAAAACTAAAAGCCACCACAACAGAAGGAAGCATGATTTTCAGCAATGTGAGGCTTCCCAGTTATCAAATACCTAATGTATTTATGAATAGACTGAGTATTCACAATTACGTTTAATTTAGCGCTTTTAAGATTCTGACAATGGCCTGAAAAGATAATTATTATTGAATCTTTATACTGAAGTATTAACATTGAAATCCTCTGAGAAAAAAATGAAAGTTTCTGAAAACTTTTATTGCTAGGCTCTTTGGCAGAAGCAACCATCCTGAATGCCTTCAAACACTCCTGTCCTGTGAGATCTTGGGAGAGGTTGAAAGAACAACGTGTGGGGTTGGTAGCCCTCTAGGACAGCTGGCACCGAGCCCACCTCATGAGCTACAGATTGTGTCACACAGCCTGTTCTGAGCCTCTGTGTGCCTGTGACAGCAAGAGAGGCAGAGCAACACAGCATCAATCCAAGGCCTCAACAAAGGAAAATACGGGTGGATTCTTATTTCCAGATAACATGCAACACATGGCAAAGGAAAATCATTAGGACCATAAAATATTTTATAGATTCCAGCAGCATGAGATGTCAAATTGAAGACTGACCACTCCCACGTAAGGTCATTTCAGTAAATTAAGTAAAGACTATCAGAAGTATAAAGGAATATATATTAAAGCTCTGTGTGAACACTGCCATTAAGGAAAAAAGTGGCCTAATTTATTGACATCCAAATGGTCAACACTGACTTCACACCTCTCACACACCTAGTTTTACCTTCCTATATTCCTTTAGATAAATAAGCCATATGGAGAGGTAGTTTTATCCAAGGCTGATAACTGACAAGAGAAATATGTATTCCTTTCTTTAAAAAATGTTTTACCAGTGAGAGAATCTAATCAGCGTTTCTTAGCATTTAGTTATTATTTCCTATTTTGAAGTAAATAGACACAGAAGTGAAATATACTTACACTCCACCAATTACACGTATTGATCCAATTTCCTGAAACTCCTCTTCACTACCAAACAGAGCTGGGACAGAACTGATGTTTTCTGAAAACTCTTTGGACCACCCTCCAAAGTGAGTTTTCTCATATATTATAATCTAGAAAATATAATGTTAAACAATGCCTCGAGTATGTTCTGAACAGTAATCTAAATTTCGGGTGTGTGTATAATATGGAAGACATCTTTTTTCCCCCCACTCCCACAAGCCACCACAATGAAGAAAGTTCAGGGTTGCATTCTTCAGCCCTTCTGATTCTTGAGTGCCTTAGAAGCTGAAGAGACCCTATTTGGTTTTAGATAGGCTTGTCAGGCTATTTGCAGACACTTCCACAGAAGGATATTTATTCACATAATTCCATATACATAAAAGCACTCTGAAGTTGTATGACTGTGATTTAACCTGTTATCCAGTGCCTGGGCAATGTATATTACACTGCTGTGAATTCTACCTGGTCACAGCCAGACACTCTGTGCTTGACCCCTCAAAAGTACATGAGAGGTCTCTCTGTATTTTGCTTAAGTTATTTGAGTGACTACAGTTAACACACACTCTGGGTTCCTTATCTGCCAAATCACACAGATCAGCTATTACTAGTCTCACTGTTATCCAGTGCCTGGGCAATGTATATTACACTGCTGTGAATTCTACCTGGTCACAGCCAGACACTCTGTGCTTGACCCCTCAAAAGTACATGAGAGGTCTCTCTGTATTTTGCTTAAGTTATTTGAGTGACTACAGTTAACACACACTCTGGGTTCCTTATCTGCCAAATCACACAGATCAGCTATTACTAGTCTCAGTATTTTCTGCAAGATTTGTTTAGAAAAAAAATCACGAGGTGTATTTATACAAATACTCAGGTGTATTTGTATAATTAAAAGTTGCCTGAAGCATTAGAATGTTTCTGGAGAACTAGAAAAAAGAGGGAAAAGAAGCAATAACTCTGGATTAGCTTTCTGCTGCTCAAATCACAGAAGGGTCAGACTCTCACTCATGACTCTTGTATTAGGAACAGGTATAGGAAGGAAGGGCCCTATTCCTGCCCCCTTCCCCTTCCATTTAACTGACTGATGTGTGAGTCAGAAAAACACATTTTCTGTTGTAAAAGCTTTACAATTTTTCTACAGCAAATTAACATTCTCCTAACATGTAAAAAACCCCAAACTACTACTCCTACATCTCATGAAACTCTAGTGTGGACTTCACAGCACTAGTGAATTTTCCTTCAGCAGCAAACATCAAATACTTAAACAACACACACCCAACAAAAAGAAAATAGCCTAATTAAGGTTCTATATTTCCAGTGTGCTCATCTTTTATTCTCAGTGTCCTCAGTGCTTACCTTGACATTCATTGGCATCTGTACCTTTAGTCCACCCTAAAAGAAAGATGGGAAAAAAAGGAATTTACAGAAAACAAAGTTATGCTTTGACATGTATGTTACGGTACCATCAGATCATGAAGTCTTAAAAATTATTTTCACCATTTTCAGTGTTGGTCAAATCAAAAGCTACTTCAAATACTCTGATCATTCATAAAAGCTATGGACACTATAAATCTGACTTACAAACAAAATCACTGTGTCGATAAGCCTGCAGGGATGCAAGCAATTTTAAAATACTCCTTTGTTGTCTATTAGCAGTATAAAGTAAATACTTACTTTGTGTTTTTAAGTAATTTACATTGACCAATTTTTAAAATGTCACTTTAAAAGCTGTGTTGTGTATATAACAATTTTCTTAAGCACAAATGATGAAACACTAAGAAACTATAGAAAAGACAGAAAATACAGGCTGACATATTAATGTCTATGTGAAAGAGCAAATACAACCAATCTATTTTATCTGGGAATGTTAGTTAATTATGTTCTGTGGGGGAATAAGACACCTGCATCTCATGAGTGACTAAAAACACAGCTGTTAGGTGTTATTCTTTTGTAGCTTTTGAACTCTGTTTCTGTAGACAGTACAGAGTAGAATTATGTGTTATTCCCTTCTACATCTCTTCCATCTTTAGAGCTACATGCTGCCTATCAAAACAAAAACTGGCTACACCTCTCAAGATTTTTATGCAATGTATGGTCACAGGAATACTACTGGGTATTTTTCAATAATAAAACTCCTCAACTGGTTTTCCATTCCCAGAAGACTCTAGCTGTACCATTACGAAATGAAACAACGTCTGAAGAGCTTTTTTAGTAAAGGAATTGGTGTTGGCTGCCCTTCAGTTCTGTCTTATTTGATCTCCCCTTGATAACACCAGTTCTGAAGGAAGCTGTCTAGTGAATCAGGCACTCCTTCTGAGTATGTGTTCCTACTTGGGCCGATGCAGAAGCCCAGAAAGTCCTGGAACAAGTGAATGCTGTGCCCTTACAACACTGCAAACACACCATGGTGTGGGAGGAGCATTGCATTTATAAGAATTAACCCTGAAAGGATGTCAGAACCTAAGTTATAGTTAGATCAAAACCTCTGGGGAAGCAACAGTAGGAAAAGGCAGGCACACAACCTGTTCCCAATTAGGGAATTGTGAAGTCCTCACCATTTTTAAGGGACGCAGAGATTTCACATCTGCTGAAGGAATTTCAGATAGTGAGTCGCATTCTTGCAAAACCTTCATCTCTCCCTTGTAATTTAAGTCCGAATAAGCAAGCCATCTATAACAATAAGGATAAAGGACTTATTAATCTCATCAGAAACATGACAATTATTTTATTAAAGTTACTTTTCTTTTTGTACTCAGAGCTAGACAATGCATTTTTGATACTGCTAGCACATAAAAATCTTGTTCTATTTAAATACACTGATAACATCAGTGTTAAGATCTCAGATTCCCTTGCTCAATGCAAGCTAAATATGAATGGAAGAGCACAAAATTACCAATTTGTTCATTTACTTTCAGAAGCCAGTTTGTTACACTTGTGTATGCAAAACTAATGGCAGTACTGAGGATGAGATGCACCAAATTTACCTAGAATTGCCACCTGAGGAATTAAACAGCTTCTAACATCAATCTTGCTCATTTTTTTCAGTGGAATTTATTTTAAAAAATATCATTTACAACACTCCTTTGTAAAGCAGGATAGAATAATTTTAAAATGAAGACTTAAAGTGCTGAGACTCCTTCATACTGTTTTAAATCAGAAAGAAAGATTAATGTAGAAGTTGGACACCAGGTTAGTAGACCAAATAAGGGATGGAAGAAGAGGCACTGAGCCATATGGAAAATTACTTTCTTAAAACTACACACACAGACAACAAGAAGTTAAAAGTTAGAGTGAGTTTTACAAAGACTAAGACTTTGTTTTTAATTCCTTCACCACCCCAAGCTTCACACATACATTGTGACACTGTAGGAAGAAAGGAAGGCTTGGCTCCCATGGAAAATCACACTCAAGACTCTGTTTAACAGAACAGCTAACGTCATTCTGCAATGATGTACGAAAACAGGCACAGAAATGCCATACTTCAGGAATTGTCAAGTGTTGGCCATTTGCCCTGGAAACAGACTATTCTGCTCAATACAGGAAATCCTGGGCTACAGAGGGGCCTGTATCTTATTGCATCACCCCTGTCCAGAAAGTCAGGATATGGCTGCAGCTTGAGGAATGCTTGGATGATGTAATATTAATTTTCTGGTATTCAGCTATGGTGTTAACAGTTACAACAGGGTGGGTGGCTAGGGACACAGTATCTATCCTCCAATGAACTACAAGCTAATTATAGCTGAGCCACTTCTTCTATTTATAAAGCTATTCATGGATGGAATTATAGAAGACTTCTGCCAGCAACTAGGTGAAAAAAACTTCCAAAAATTTGGTTCTACTGTTAGAAGCCCATATAGCACAACACTGAAGCATAGAGCTGGGAATATCTAGTGTACGTTGCCTGATTTGTAGCAAAAACCCCCAAATATTGTTCCCCTTGCTGACTGACTTTCATCCCATGATGTTACCCCTCTACCTGCTGGCAAAATGCTACTAAAAAAGTTTAGTACTCACACTCCTGATTTGACACTTATATAAGGGTTTTTCTCAAAATCCAGTTCTTCTAAATTGGCAACTGCACTCTGTATGCAGATAGGTAGTCCCTCTGTCGTGGCTCCCACACAGAATTCTACCTCTGGAACATGACAGTCCTGTGGAAACAAATCAAAGTGTAAGGCTTATCCACACTTGCACAGTCTGCTCCACTGCGGCAGGGGAAGGACCAGTGGTGCTTCCTTCTTTTTCCCTGTCTTCTCACCCTTCTAACTTAACTCTGGGCTTCATAAGATGGGAGGTTTTAAAATTAATGCTGGGAGTTTTAGAAAAGCTAAGGGAAGTAAATTTCGATCTCCAGCTAACTTTCCATGAAAAACTACACATTTCTGCCTATTAGACTACCTTCAAAAAGCTGTAAAACACTCCAAGTAAAGGATCTGACAGTACTTACTGATAGACAGTGTATATAATATTGCTAATTTTTAAGACAGTGATTCCATGACACACATATAGATACACATGATGCATACATAACTAAAATTTCCTAGAGATGTCTAGTACTTCATTCCCACTTTCCCCACTCAGTGATAATTAGGTTCTGTAATACATCTGTCTACAGTTTCAAGCCACAGAAGTTCAATTTTATGTCATTTAAAATATATCTACAGCATATTAGACAAAGAAAGAAAAAGAAAAGTACTGGGAAATTCTTGTTTTGTTAAGTAGACCCTGTAACCATTTTTCTGTTACTACAGAGCAACAACTCCTGTTACCTTACTGAAGATTTTCTCCTGATAGATACTATGCTGGAGAGAACTTGTTAAACACATGATCTTCTCTACAATTTGCAAGGATTTTATTGAGCCACATTAGTTTCACAATATTTATATTAAATGCATTGCCAAAAGTTTCTTTCCCAGCATTCAAACACATCAAGAAACACTGAGGATCTTCTATAATGCCATGCTTGAGCAGTGCATTACAGAACAGTTGTCTTGTTTCAGTGAAAAGCATCTCATGTGCTTACAGAGTTTGCTCAGCTGCAGCTGGAAACCTTCAGTTCTCAGTGATAGCTTCACAGTGCCCTTTTCCTCATCCCCTTGACCCATGGGCCCAATTGCTTTAGCCCAAAGGACGTGGACAGCATAAAGAGACCTTGAAGTCCTGAACATGGCGGAAGGAAGATGTCCCTTGCATGTGCACTAGAGAAGGATGAGCAGCCGTCACCAAGGGTGCCCTCTGTGAAGCACCTGGTTACTGGATTTGCTGCGGACCCAGGCAGGGTCACATCATGACAGAGATCCCACACAGGCTGTGGCTTCTGCCAGACTCAAAAGGCAAAACACAAGAGCTTGCAAAGAAAAGCAGCATTAGGGCACAATAGCTCTTAAAGTTACAGCACGTCATCTCATGACAACACCTGCTTGTCTTCTCTTTTTACATAAGTTTTGAGCGGAACTTTCAAACGATGGAGTAACATCCCACCTAGAAACACAGCTCTTCTCTGTTAGCTAAGTTCTTTCAGTAGTTATTTAACTGTCAGCAATAAATGTGGCAAGTATAATAGATGGACTTCAGGATATTATTTCACTCTCCTCATGAGACCTGAAGTAACACAGTATACTGTTTTGGCAACTGTCCCTCATACATAATCCTGTTTCCTCTGTATTGTATGTTGCAAACAATGCACTTTATTTGTTTTCAGAACAAACACTGCAGTACCAGGATTTTTATTATCAGATGAGCAAGCACAAAAATCAGGGAAAAAGACTTCTAGTACAATGCTACTTTATGGCAAAGTACAAAGGAATACAGTTCCTCAATTCTAAGTTTATTGGTAGACAAGTTTAAAGAAAATCTCCTCATAGTTTCTGTAGGTATATGCACCTTATTACCTTACAGATAAGAAATATATTAAGTTCATTTTTTTTTTCTAATGATACCTGATATGTGAGAAGGCTGAAGTATGTGAATCCAACAATAAAGCTTGATATGGAAGATCATAAGTTGCACCTATAGGAATTCCACAAATAATTATACCAGACTCTCAATGGTTTCAGATAAATTCTGAATCAAAGCACCTACAAGACTAGACAAGTGGCAAAATAAAGTATCTTTGCCTGCAGGCTCAGACAGAATATGAGACAGAATATGTTTAATTTTAATTCAGTAGGAGGTGGTGTGTTGTTTTTTTTTTCATCTGAAGATTGGAAAAAGCCAGTCTGTATTCTCTTTTCAAGTTTGCTTTCCTGACTCGGAAGCTCACGAGGCAGGCTCCACCTCAACAGATGAAGAATGCAGCAGTTCTCCAAAGGATAGGTAAAGCACAAACACTCATAATAAAATCTCTCCAATTTATCACCATCTCTCTCCAGCAAAATTTTGACATTCATAAAAAAATCTGCTCATTGTGATGATATTTTTGTGTGCACTACATTAAGCCAACAAAGTCCCTTCATAAAACATCATGCAGTAAACTGAGGTCTTCATCAAAAGCAATTAAAATATCTACTTTTGAAGGCAATAGCATGATTGAAAGAAGTACATTTTCTAGGCACATTTTTTTAAGTAACATATTTTGATTGCAATACTGAGTTCAATTTACATATATCAATTCACAGACTGCAAAAAATGGTAAAATTTACTATTACTCAATGAGGTGAACATTATGTATTTTCCAGTGTACACACAAGTACTATGCCATTATATGGTTTAAGTGTGTAAACAACAGCTTGGTTAAGCATTTGCCCTAGCATGTTCATATTTGCCTGAATAAATTTAATAGGCATCATTACTTTCAGAGGTTTCTTTAACATGCCTAATAAAGCCACCATCCTTAGAAACAAAGTGAAAACCACACAAATATGATAGCATTCAGGTTGAGTACTAGATCCTTCAGTCCCAAGCCCTTTCATTTGCAAGGCGTCAAGATTTTCAAATAAGATATCCACATGCAAAACTACTACCACAGTGTTTCAGGCCAGATCCAAAACTGGAAAGTTTCCTCCCTGTACTCCTCTAGCCCTGCCACCCCCATCAAAAGCCGTCCAAACTCATGCCATGTTAGTTATGCTACTGGAAAGTCTTCCAAGGATAATACATAACCATAAAACACTTAGGTAGGTCACAGCCTCCAGGCATCCCACTCTGTCTTTCCTTTACTCTGTGGTACTCTCCTCCTACCTCCACAGAGACGTCCTGATGTGCCTGTGATTCCCCCATGGTCTTTTTTAGGAGCAGAGATGTTTACAAAAGTTCTTGCTAGCTCGCAGAGAACAGACACTTCTAAAACAGCAACACATCCCTCAACAGAAAGGTTAAGGCTTATTCTGAAGTCTTTAGACAACTCTCAAGACCTTAGCATTAAATACTCTTCAGTGGCATCTCACATTTTTCTAGTTTCACCGAAAGCTTCATCATTAGTGAGAGATTCAGAGCCTTCAACCCCTTCCAGGTGTTCTTGTCTGTTTACCTTTCTTTGGATGTAGGGTTAAAGCCCTAACAGCACTGTCAGGACTAAATGATTTCAGTACTGTTAGGTCTGAAGTGGTCAAAATAGCTGATTTAAATGAGGTAGCCTTTTATGTCAACAACATGACAAAGAATGACTAAAGTCTGGCTTCTTAAGTTAAATGCCAAAACAATGATGAGAGAAGAGTCTATTGAAAACCAGGCCTAATTAGTTCTGGTATTCACATGATTGCTTTTTAATACAGTCTAGACACGCATCCTACTTTTGATACACAGTTTGTTCTTACTATGTGTCAGCTTCTGCAGCATTTTTTATTTTAAATCTTATTCTCTGTTGGTCCTTCAGCCCTTTTCACTCATAATTCCTACTCTCAGTTATTCTGCTCAGTACCACTCTTGCTATCACCCACCACCGCCAAATCAAGTTACAGAACTCAACAGCACTGGTAGTAAAATAAAATAATATTAAGAAATTAATGAATACTGTCCTGTAAATACCAACTAGCAAATGAGACAATCTGAAGCTGCTGGGTGAACTGACAAAGTAGTCCCTGCTTGAATCAGTAACTTCTTGTCACCTAACAAACCTACATTACCAAAAGAAGCACATCCTTCATGTAATACTGTGAACATTCCCATTACAAAGAGCTTTGCTTACGTAAAGTCCACAAGAATCTATTCCTGGCCAACCAGATAGAGATTATAAACTACTGTTTCAGACCTCCTGTCACTGGTTTACAAGATCCCTCTAGAATGGAAACATCAGCAACTCTTCTCAGCTCTTGTTTTTGGAAAAGTAATATTTAGCATCCTCACTGGCCTTCTAGAAACAGATAGAAAAAGGCCTCCAAATCCATAAGATCAATATGGAGCAGACCAAAGAACTGACTTGGCTAAACAGATTGTGCTGCAGGAGCCTCACTGAGCCTGTGTGTGCAGGCAGTTTATGCTAGGCTAGGCTCATGTTGACTTAGCCTAGTGAAACTCAACATCCTCATTATTTCAAATAGGTCTTCATTTTACTAGTTGCACGATCTGTTCCTTTAGGATATTTTTTTTCCACTTCTAAATTCCTCCAAATTAAACAAACATGGATACATCTAATGCCTAAGTCAAGCCACAGGCTAACCACAAAGCTAACAGAACCTTTGCTTTTTGTGGAGACTTGAAATCAAATCAGAACACAAAGCTACTGGCAAACTGTTTCTCAGCAAACTAACATCTGCCAGTAAAAAAAATGTAAAATATTAAATGTACCTCATACCATTTCTTCAGTAAACATCTGTTTTTCTCTTCTTGGCAAGCCATTTTCTTCCAAAACATTTAGCCAATTTTCAAATCTCCTAACTCAAGGCATTTGAACAGCCACTAAACAAGCACCATAAAAACCCAGTTTAACAATCAGAAGATCAGCCAGACAGACAGGACACACAGCCAGTATGACAAAACTAGACAGCAGAAAAGCCACTGAGCTATGCAGCCTATGAAAAAGAGAATGACTGTAAAACATGTGATTCAACAGATCACACACACATGAGCTGCCTGAAAAAGCAACAGTGATTAGTTAATAAAAAAACAATGCCTAGGCTTTTTACAAACAAATAAATAAATAAGGTAGCACTTCGGAAAACTACCACCTAAAATTGGTTCCACAGCAGCTGAAGCACAACCCAGGAAAGAGAGATGCTTTCCCAAATCAAGGTGTAGAGGACAGAGCCCAGCTCGGTGAGTTCCACACCCACACTAGCTCCACTCCACACAGACCTATGGATTCACAGCCGAAGTCTTCCCAGCCAACCACACCTGCTAAAGCTTCAAGTTATATGAGAAATAGTGTTGATTACTGAACTCGTGTACTGTAATAAAGCTTTCCACCTGTGTTTCATAAACCACATACTGGAAGAACAACACTCAAAAACACTTAACTGTATTGCAAAGATTTTTATCATGCATGATGAAGCTAACCAGTGTTTTACCTATCCAAGGCTTTTCTTTGATACTCAAGACACACCCAGCTTCCCCCAGCTTCAGACCATAGTTTCACAAATTATCGTGGCATTTCTTTAATGAGTTAGCTGCCTTCCACATTATTGATCAATATTTATGTTCCATATTGGTCAAATGCTTTTAATTTGTTTAGCTCAAATAAAGGTTAACTTCATTATTCATGCCCTCACCTAGCCTCTTTTGAATTTATTTATTGTTCAGCCTTTAAGAGAACAAAAATTTCATATTGTTACGACATTATACTCCTGTACTGATGACAATAATGTTATCCATTTTAAAATTGCCTCTTTATCAACAGAAAAACATCACTTTTTCTGAAAAACTTTCACATTGCGATACAAATGGTATTTATCTCACAGTAAAGAGCTATTGCCCTGTGAATAATTTGAATGTTACGCTAAACAACAAGAGCACTAAGTCTTCGTAAATCACAAGATCTGGTAAATATATTCCTCATTCACTGAGCAACAATGGGTACACTGTATTTAGTTTTAGGCAATTTGATTCCTGTCTTTTCAACAAAATGCCTTTTAAACTTCTGGCTGTATGCCAAGCCAGATGCTGTAGGTATACCACTTGTCCACACGGAAATCCTACAAATGGCACAAAGATGTAGAGAAAGAAATAGTAACTTGTGTTGGCTACACAGCACAAATGGGATTGAAATCCCAGCTAGTAACATACAGACACAGTAGATGGTTTGGGCTTCAGATAAACACTTTGAAATAAATAAACTGATTCCATTTCATTCCAATTAACTGAACAGTCAAACATCTAACGGTAAGATGAGTCCCTGTGTCAGACAAAGGTGGTAGCAAAGAAAGATAATCCATTTGCTCATTAACCTCAGGAAGAAAGAGAAATTTATCTCAGCAAAAGCCCTGGACTTCATCCTGAAGGTGAAAAGTGTGATTCATACTAAATCTGAGTAAAATCAGAAATACTGCATACAAACATTGTCCATTACTAGCAATACAGCACTATCACCAACAGAAATTATATATGTATGTGCATATATTATTAAAAATGTCTATACCTTTGTTACGTGTTTGATTGAACCAACTGTGAGGTTTCTTTGATCATATTTCACTCCTGGAAGATCCCAAAGGTGATCCAGCACAGTCTCTCCTTCTTCTAGGACATACTTCTGACCCTGGAAGTTTGGTTTCTCATAAAAAATCCAACTGCAATAATGAGATCATGAAGTCAGTTGTAAGACTGTGGTTATGCAGCACCTTTGCTGGAAAGCTCAGGAATGAGCTCTTCTTTTCAAGACAATTATCAGCCCCTTCTTATGCCATCCCTCAGTAGTTACATTAACTTCAGACAAATGCAGGGCTTATACTTCTGTGCTTTTCAAGTAAAATACATAGTTCTCCTCCTCTAGGATGTAGATTAACATAACTTAAAATAGTAACTGCATAAAATTAGAGCTAAAGCACAATGGAAAAAAAAAAAAAGCCTTATTTCACCAGAACAAATACAGTAATTGACTCATCAAAACATGTTATTTCAGGCAGATACTATGCAAGGTATAAAACTATGTATGTACCAATAACAGCATTCAGTACTTCTTTGGATGTGAAAGAAATGCATGCAAACCAAATAAGGCTGCCTCAAAACTGCATAAATGTGACATGCATTGTTGCTATGGCTGACAGTCAGAAACATTATTTCTAAGTGCCACCACTTAAATTCCAATGCTACAATTGGCATGGTCCCAGCCCCAGCTTCCCAAAGCAAACATAGAAACACTTGCAAAACCAACCATTGATGTACTTGTATACCAGTATGCATCAACATTCCTCTAAATGCTACATTTTAAGTACCAGAGGTGTAATCCTGGTACCTCAAGGCCAGGCTGGATGGGACTTCGAGCAACCTGGCCTAGTGGGGGATTGGAACCAGATGATCTTTAAGGTCTCTTCCAATCCAAACCACTCTATAATTCTGTGATAAACAGCAGCTGAGATAGTTCATTTTATGCTCCTTTTACTGCAGCTATGGTATTATGAAACTGATATATAAATTAAAAATTTATTTGGCATACACATGCTTCTAGTGATGATTAGGGCTGTACTGTCTCAGCACTTCAGGTAAGAAAACTAAAAACTTTCTTGTGGTTCTGTTAGGAACTTTTGAAAACCACTCGCAGGAGAAAAAACTTTTTTTTTATACTACAGCATTTGAAGGCTTGTTTCATGCTTTTTTCATTGGAATCACTCTAAATATAAAGAAATTAAAAGACACTCTTGCAGATCAGGTGTGTGTCATAAATAAACAAAATGAAAAGACAAGAAAAACAGATACACAGTATTTTGGACTCTATTTAAATATGACCTGGATTTCTTACCATCCTCTAATTATCCTAAGTAATGCTCCAATGGGAAAGATCCAGGACGTGGTATCTAGCATATCAGAATTAACTTCTTGTTTACTTTTGTCAGCAGAAATATCATAAATGATAATCTGAAACAACATAAAATGCATACAAATGAGGGCCAATTTAAAAACAGAGTAATTTTTTGCTTGGAATAAAACCTATTTCACTCTGTGCCTGTTCAACTACACATTTTCTTCTTTTATAAAACACTCTACTGAACTAAAACCACAGTTGCTGACAGAAGTACAGTACAATTACTAGTAGCAGGATTTTTAATAGTATCTTCTTACCATCAGCATGAGCATACATAACTTCAGTTGCTTTCAATTAAAAAATTTTGGTATATGAGATTATTCCATGTATTGTATTGATCTATGCAAGATGAATTTTGCTTACCTTTCCCGGTCTTGGATTGTATTTGAGACTTGCCCTGTCAACGAGGTTCTGAAATGCAAAGCAGATGGAGATTAACATCTGCAACAGTGGCAAAAAGCCTGGACAGATTATTCTGGGCTCATTATTCCTATAAATGTATGCAACTGTCACTAGGAGAAACAACCAATATTTGTTTCACTGTCATTCAGAGTTGGTGTAAACAGTTTAACAGAATCAATGAGCAGAAAGCAGCAAGTGGTAGAAAGGAGGAACTATTACAGAAGCTGTAACTTACAGAAATTAATTACCCTTTCCTAGCAAACCATAAAATGCATGTCTTAGCAGTGGCAAAACCTCTAGCACAAACTGCAGTATTCCAACATGATGAAAAGACTTTCTTCAGTTACACATTCAGTCTATGGAGCCTTTTCAGTTTCTCAATATTGAAAGAACTGTTTCCATACCTTCATCTGCCACAGCTTTAAATAAACTAAATGCTAATGTACAGAAGCTGTTGTATTACTTATTTGCTAACTGAGTTACAATTTGTAGAACATACTGTGACAAAACAATCAAACAGACCAGTAAGCAGATATTTTTTGGACAACACAGCTCTACTAATTGTAGAAGTGGAAGAACTGAAAGAACAATTTTCATACAAAAGGCAAGTCCATAATCTTCAGTTTGAAATGTCCTTAACAAGGACAAGTCTGTGTTTTACTATTATACAGACTTGCTAATATTTATATTTTCTTATTACGTTTTCTATCATCATCTCCTGTTTTACAATTACATCACTTCCATTTCTGTTCTGAACCAAGAATATGTTTTCAGAATTATTTTATCAGAAGACTTTTTGTTTTTAAAATTATGATCTTAAACAGACTAATTACTTTTGCTTATGATTAAAGCATTAATCTTAAGAAGAGAAAAAGGAGAAAAGGGAGACAACACTTTTGAATCTGTACTAATCAATTTGATTATTATATGACACAACATCTTACCGTCGACAATTCTTGTAGGTTTGGCACATTGCTGTCTTGAGACCAATGAATCTTTGGCTGCAACATATCCTGGAGAATGCTTCCAAATCTGGTACCCTTCTCAGAGGAGGTATTGCTAGCAGATTTCAAATACTGGTAGTACACACTTGTAGGAGAATGCTTTAGAGTATCATCAACTTTCTGTGAAACTGGCTCACAAGATGTTTGACTTGAAGAAGCTGCACCTGGAAACAGTTCTGGTTGCTCCTTAGAGTCAAGCTGTTCTTTTGGAAGAAAAAATGGTTGTTCAGGAAAAAATAACCCATTTTGGTCATTAGATTGAAGGGTTGTTTTAAAATGTTCTCTCCACTGACTGGAAAGACAGTCATCTTCTCTTTCAACATCAAGCATACTTTCCTCATATGTTGATTCTTCCTCCTCATCCTCCACCCCCTCCTCCTCCTCCTCTTTACTGAACTGAGTAGTAAATTGTAAGCGCTCAGAAACTGACTGGAGAAGGGAAAGCACAGAAGTGTGGTCAGTGTTATCTTTTGATATTCCACTAGGATGGCCCTCTGGAGACATGTCTGTGGAAAGTAGGTCTTCCTGGGAGCTGTCATCTTCATATATTGGAGACAAAGAGAAAGGATATACTCTATAGCGCTTGGCCTCCACGCTCAGAAACGACTCTGAGCTACAGCTAGCTGTTGCTTCACTCAACTTGTTATCCTTGCCATAAACACAGTCTGACTCATGTCTATTCTTTGCTCTGTCACACATTAAATAATCTAGATTATCTGAAGGCAAATCAGAAGAAGAAAGCAAACCAGCTTGCTTATCATTGGCAGAGACAGATTTGTTCTCGGTTTGAAGTGCACCTTCGTAAATGATAGTAAAAGAACTGTTTTCCCACTGTTCAATTAATGGAGAAAAGGCCAAAAGATCTGCTGATTCCTTCATGTCATTGCTGCAGTCCAGACTATTCCCTTCAAGCTGATCCTCTCTATTCATGTCTTGATCCTTCACTTGTACCTGCTTCAGATTCTCATTATTCTGGGCAGAGACTGTGTTGAAGTTGTTTTCCCTGTCACTGTCCTCTCCAGTAACAGACAATTCAGGTACAATGAACTGAGTATTTAATCCAATATTAACCTCTGTTTTCTCACTCACTCTTTCTGTTAGTTCCTTTTTACTCTCCACTCCATTTGAATCTTCTAAGGTTTCTTTTACTTGTGCAGGTACTTCGTCTGCAGCCTCTTTTCCACAGTGTTCACATGGACTGTACTCTGCACTGCTTCTCAGAGACCCCTGAGGACTGCTTTTGTCTTTGGATTCACTCTGCATGACGAGTGAATCTCCATCAGGCACAGAAGATGACAAATTAACATTTACAGCTGGCAGCAAAGTGCACTCAGGCGTATTCATATTATTGCATGAATCTTTTAACTGTGATAGCAGAAGAGTCTCTTCAGGCACAGGAGCATCTCTATGTATTACATGTAAAGATCCATCAGATTTTCCACTAGTTGCTGATGATCCAGCTTTGCCACATATCTCTGCTGCAGCCAGATGTTCACACACCTTTCCATTATGTCTCTCTTTTGCTAGTGTAATAAGATTAAACTCTGGCCTTTCTGAATTATCCGTGGGTAGAAATCCATTTGTTTGATACGCAAATGCATTATTTGGTATCTTTTTACCCCTTTGGGGCCAATCTATACAATTTTCCATACTATTTGCAAGTAAAGGAGAACCTGAGCAATCCACCTTTTCACAGTTCTCAGCTACACTTCGAGCTTCCATCTTCTCTGTTGGTTTTTGTGTTTTGGCAGGTAACTTCATATCCAGCTTTAACATATTTGGGGTTTCAGCCTTAGGTTTAGGCTCAATTTCTTCAAAAGGCCTCTTACTCTCACTGCCTTGCCACTGATGGGATGCCAGTTTTTGTATGGCTGAGTTAATGACTTCATCAATTATTTCTTTGGCTTTTAGTGCTAGTGCACTATGTAGGTCAATTTTATCAGGGATGTAAGATAATATCTTTTCATCTTGGTTATTTGTATCCACTGTTTCATTTCCTGTAAATGAAGATGAACTTCCTCCACTGCTCTCCTTAAAATGTTTAAATGAGTGCACAGCTGACTGGATTTCTTCTGCTTCTAGCTGTACAGTTTCAACCTTCTGAACATTTTGAATATCCATATTTACTAAACCACCCTTGCTCCCACAAAGCTGGCAGACACTAATGGCTTGTTTTGCTATGATTTCTTCTATAGCTAAGTGTAAAACTGAGTCCACTATTTCTTCAGCTTTTTTAAACAAAACAGCAGCATATTTTAATTTGGCACATTCTTGTCCCTTCACATCAGTATCTTCCTGTACTTCCTCAGAACGGAGCTCATTTAACTCTGGAGGTGCAGCAGCTGTTTGATCATCCATCACAGAAGGGGCTTCTAAGACAGCAGAAGCATGGCTACCAAGATTCGCCTGTCCTACAGCATTTCTACATCCACTCTCAGTACAGGCTGACTCAGATGCCATTTCCAGAAACTTCAAAGTGGGTGATGGCATTGCTTGTGCCAAGACACTGTTCTCAGCCTGTTGAGTGGAGGAGGCCTCCTCTGCCCCATCACCGCCACTGGAGGAATAGCTGCTCCCCTCAGCAATGCTTGATGTTTCCAAGCCAGAAATGGAAAGACTGGAGGCTTCTCTAGATTCCAGAGTAGGTGAAGAGTGCCTGGGGATGCAAACACCCCCCACATCTAGTTCAGTAGTATAGCAATCAAGCACAGTTAGAGTAAGCTCAGGTCCAAGAGAACCAGCTGGGCATGAAGCTCTCAGGCCTCCTGAACGAAGTGACGCCTCCGTTATTCTGACCTCAGGGATTATTCTCCTAAACTCACCATCTGGGAAAATTAAGCTATCCTGTACAGAAGCAGCAGGCCATCTAGCAATCTGGCCATTTTCAGAGCTAGTGGATGGAGAAGGCATTTTTCCTTGGTTGTCAGCTGAAGAATCAAGTACTGTGGGTGGTATCCTAGGTTTACTACTGTTGTCATTCTTGGAAGAAAAATTAATACACCTATCTTCAGAAACAGGTGGAGATTCAGCAGTGATGTCTAAATCAATGTCTTTTTCACAGATTAAAACAGAATGGTTAGTCAAAGGTCTGTCTCCATACCTCAAGGCAGAATGAGAAACCTTTAGAATGTTTTCTTGTGACTTAAAAATAGGAGAGGAAAGTTCAGAGTTGCAATCAGAAGGAACAAGAGCAACTTCAGTCACACCAGCCTTGTCGATTTCAGAAGTATCAAGAATATGATCATGTGTCCTGTCAATGCTGATTAAAGGGCAACGTGCAGGCTTTGCTGCGTTATCTTCTCTGAGTTTCACTAATGCCTTTACTGGAATGTCTTGGTCAGTTTCATGGGAAACAGGACCACAGTTGTGGATGGGAACTGAGTTTTCCAAGAGGTTCCTCTCCATGGGCTCGAAGCATTTGCTCTTCTCACATTCAAGGTCAGGACAAAAACTAGTTTCCCTCACATCTTTTAAATTGACTTCTCTTTTCCCTATAGTTTTATTTTTGGTCTTGCAGCTAGGATGAGGAGAAGCTGAGCAACAGCCTCCAGTGTCAAGAGAAGACTCGAAAGTAACAGAGAGAGGTGCTGTCAGCTCATCAAGGTTAGATTTCACACTCTCGAACCCATTTATGCGTGATAATACATTGGCACTATTCTCCACTGCAACTTCAGATAAAACCTTCATTGTTTCCACATCCTCAGTTTCTAGACAAAGTAAACCAGTCTTTGGTGGGGCAGTATCTTTGGAATTCTCTGCAAGGATTAACCGGTGATCATTTTGTATGTGTTTAGGTTTCCCTAATGCACTCAGTTCTTCATTACAAGTCCCCCTGTCCATGACTAAGTCTTTATCATTTTTAAAAGATGACGCTGAAGCAACAAAACAACCTGCAGCTATACATTTTTCTCCTCTGGACTCTATACTGAGTGAAGAGGATATTTGTTCACTAAAAGGTAAAATAGCAGTAGCAAGAAGTTTCTGTGGATTTTGCTCTCTTTCTACAGGTGCCACAATTTTCTGTGTATCACAATCTCTTGGATCACTATCTTTTTTTCCATTATCCATATGCTGATCTGCTTGCTGCTGAGATATAGTGATACTGGAATGAAGCATCTGGACATCAGATGTTAGCTCCGAGTGACTACCTATTTGATGATTACAGCAACGTTCTCCCTTCCTCAACTGTAGTTCTTCATTAACTGTCTTATCTTTTGATTTGGGTGAATGTAAACAAGAATCCTGCATTTTTTTTATTGACTCCTTACTAGCTGCTATACTACAGTGATTATGCAAGTTAGAAGCGGCATTTTGGTTTGCCTGAAACAGAGCTTCTGCATCTCCCAACAGTTCAGATTCTTTTCCCACCAAATCATTTGTAGAACTCATTTTAAGGGAACTGGCAATATGGGAAGTAGAATTGGTTACAATCTCACTGTTTCTACTATTAGATAACAACAATGAATCTAGTGAATGTGTCCTTCTAACTTTTGTTGCATCTAAAGCAGGTGCATGTTTTAAGTCTGTATCATGAAACGATTCCATAGATGAAGTTGTGACCTTTGCAGTTATTTCATGTTTACTGCTACCCCAGCAATGCTGAGCTTTACCAGACGTTTTTGTTTCCATTTTAAATGCAGCAGAATTTACTATGACACTGCCTTCATGATCTTTACACTCCTCTTCTCCATTTTCTTTTATTAAGTGTCCTGATTCTGGAGAGACAGTTGTTTGGATTTCTCCATTTTCTTTGCCCTCTGAAGCATTTCTGTTTTCCGTACTTTCTTCTCCTTTTTCAGTCTTTTCTGCTTGATTCTTCAGCAGCTGCCTGATCCTTGCAGAACCTCGATATGTTGCATAACTGACTGCAGGTGCCTCTGGCTTCCGATGCCTCTGCCTGTAACAAGGATCACCATTATCAGCATAAGACAGACTATCTAAACAACTAATGTGATAATAAAGGTCAACATAAACTGTAGATGATGTACAATACTGCTTTCCTCCACAGGTTAGCACAGAGTCTAGACTTCATGCAATACAATTTTCCTCCTTCTTCTGCTATTCCTAAATGAGGATTTGTATGAAAAAATGAAACACACACTACTTTTTACTGAAAACACCAACTTAAACTACAAGCAAAAGCAGATGTTGCTATAAACAACTCATAATTTGCTTTCTACTAGAGGATGGAATTACTATTTACAAATGCCATTGCAAGTAAATGTTTGCAGTGACAGAAGTAAGTGTACTTTTGTGAAGATGTTATACCCTACTAAAGCAGGTCAACACTTTAAAAACTGAAAAAAATGTGTTGTATTCATATTGATTAAAATAGTAAATTGAAATGTAATTTTTTTACCCAAGCTCTCCACATATCTTAAAGTAGCAGGACTTGGAGAAGCCAAACATGTGGATAACAGAAACTATACAACAGGAAATGCTTCCTGAACAAGGTGAAGGAAAGAAAGTGAATGGAGATCAGTTAAGATTGAAGACTGCTTCAATGATGGAAGAAATATCAAAGTGAGCAACCTAAAAATGTGACAAGGAATTGGTAGATCTAGCCATCATCTAGACAGTCATCTGTCAGAAACAGAGTAGCAAAAAAAAAGTGAATGCAAAACCTAACAAATGAAAGAATCACCATGAAAAATAACTGTGATCCTGATCTGTGGCATTCAGAATACACAGTGCTTGTCTGGAACAATCCAAGAGATAAGTGATGGACTTTGGCACTCAGGATATCTGTTGTCTGTCTTGTGGATTAAACACCTGTTGATGAACTAAAGAGATGTCTCAGCAACCCACCCAACCATTTTACTTCCCCTCCTGCGAGGAGTACCTGAGAACTGGGGAGTTTAGTGTGGGACATGCTGAGACCGGAGACAAAGGAGTTCTACAGCTGGCGCTGGGAGCAGAACATCCAGTGATAACCAGGCCTTGATATGAAAATCACCGACTTAGCAGGACAAGACAAGGAGTACCAGTCTCAAGCCACTTCCTAGGACCAAAACTCCACTGCAACAAACTAATCCTGTGGTGCCAGTTGACTCAACCTCCTCTTTTGTAATGGTTGATCCCATCAATTAGCCAAAGACTACGTAGCCCCTGGCACCATACCTGCCCCTGCTATCACAGAGAAGACAGAAGGATTTTCTCCCTTATTCAGGGAAAAAGTGGGGGTGCAGTGGGCAAGAACTGTATAAAAATCTGGGACTCTGTGGGTGCATTCAAAGCACTTCCCCACCAGGAAACACTTCCCCACCGACGACATCGCTGGACCGTGGGTGGTAACTATGCTCTCGCTTCCTGTCCTCTGTATCTTTGCTTTCTCCTTATTTTCTGTCTCTGTTTTCCTCCCTGTCCTATCCACTCTAGGGACTTTTGTTGTGTTACTGCAATAAAAGGTTGTTGTGTGCATGACATCTGACCTTGCTTGTGTCTTAATTTCACCATTTGGGATCAGCTTTATAAAAAATTGCCACATATCCGACCGTGACATTAATTGGTGTCACGGACAGGATCGAATTGTGACATGGTCCTTAAGTGCTTTTTCTGATATACTAAGGATAAATTCAGAGCCTTTTACTTTGCATTTTCTGAAGAAGCAGCTTTTCTTCTTTCTTAAAACTAACAGACATCACAAATACCTTTCTTCCTAATTCTGCTCTCCTTTCCCTCTGTTTTTTGTTGTTGGTTAAAGAACTGTTGCAAAAATTGAGCAATGACAATATGAATGTGACCATCAGCTTTTCCATTCCTCTGCTTAGGACAAAGCAGATGCTCAGACTATGCTTAAAGTCTGTTTTGCCTTTGTTCTTCCAAAGCCTTTCAAACTCTTATGTAGTCTGATCCCATGTCTGCTAACCCAGCGACCAGAAGTGGCCATTCACCTGTCTGGGAAATTGCCATACTCCTTTCAAAAGAGTCTCTTGAAAAAAAGGAGCTAGTTAAGGCTTTGATTTCTAATACAAAAACATTGTGATAAGTAAAACACATGTTAAAAGCTTTTTTAAAAGCTCCTTGCAGCTTATCTTTAGTTCACATTTATTGAGAAGTTATTACTGCTAGAGCTGAAGACAATTTCAGTGACAAATAGAATATTCCTAAGGAATAGAAATTTCTAAGGAAAACTGAATAGCAAAATAAATAATTTTGAGAATAATTTGGTAGCTATAACTTCAAATATTGTCTGTATCTATAGTGAGTACGTATCCTCTCAATAGGTAGAAAATAATATAAAAATGGAGTGGATTTACCAGCCTAAAATAGAATCTCTTTTTTTGTCATGGTTTTAAAGGACCAGATTCATACTTCAGTATTAATTTTATTTTGAAGAGGGAACTTAGTTGTGATTTTAAATATTAAGCTGCTTCCTTGAGCAATATTTGAACATGCAAAGAGTATAAGTGAACTAGAGGTGAAATTATTCATACTCTTAAACATTAAAAGACATATAAACATTAATTTATATTAATGTTTTACATTGCCAGGTATATTTAGACTAATGCCAAAGTATCTGAACAAGGAAACTCAAGACATTATAAGAATGTAAAAATTGTAAGAATGGTTAAATTTATTGTAATCCCTGATCAAGGCTGCAGCAGAATCTCAGTATAGGGTTTATTAACCAGGTAGATTAAGTTATAGAGGAAACAGGAAAGTAAAAACACTATGTCTCCCAAGCATTTGCAAAGTTAGATGCCTACATTTAGCCTTCTATACCACTAGTTTGGTTTCCAGAGATACCAACAGTGGTAGCTGCTAAACATCACACTTCCTATTTGTTTCAGCTGCCTTCACAGCTCTTCAAAGAGATACACACATTTCTGAGAGGAAAACAAAATCTAGTTAGAGAAAGAGTAGTAGAGAAAAAAATAAATTTGCTTGTTTCCCTTAAAAAAAATTTATACTGTTTTCCACTTCCTCACAGAAAACTTTCTTCTACATTAGATACTTTCCAAAGCTCCAGAGATCCTAAAAATATTAGGAAAAGGATTTGTTGAGTTCTCTAGTACATTACATTCAAGCAGACAGAGACAGCCATAACAAAAAAAAAAAAAGAGTCTTACAAATGTAAGACCTGATCATACTCTCATTCAGAATTAATTTTACTGAGTACTCTCTCCTACTTCAGTTAAGTCAGAATGGGATGAAAATGTTTCAAATAACCACTGTTAACCTTTTACAAAAACCATAAGCTGACCCCATGCTTTGGCCAACCTAAAAAATAAGTCAGTCTACAACTGTCCAAAATGCAGAGAAAATTCCTTTTAAGAAAACAATCAGAACACAGGTTGGCACCAATCCTCCATAAAAGTTCCATGAATTCTTAAAAAGGAAAATTATAACAATACATGTTTAAAGTGCACACAGCAATGGTATTGCAAGGTACCAAATACTAATTTCCACCACAACAAAGGTACCACTTTGAATGAACGAACAGCTTGACAATTAACTCTTAGTGAGTGTTTCACTCTTCTGTTGATACTTTGCCTGATACACGGTGGCAACAAAATAGAATGTATCTATAAACATGTGGCAAGAATTAGTGCTCTGACAAACCTGGAAAATGTCCTATTTATCTCCCACACGCACGTTTGCCTTCAAATATCTCCCAGTAACTCAGCATTTCTTAAACCCAAAGCATCCAGAAATGGGACGAACAGGTTGATTTTTCAGAATATTGTCTACACAGGAATGACAAGGAGAACCCAGCATGACAATGTGCTGTATTCACACTGATTTGAGCCACAGATCCCAAAGAGTTATACCATTTATTATACGTGGTCAGGCAAAATAAACATTCTCAGTTTCTCTTTGCCAACGTGGTGCTTTTAATAATTTCTCCCAAACTCTTATTGCTCTCCCTTTGTATTCTGAGGATAGTTTTATCCTCTAACTGATTAATTTGAAGTCTGAATAAGACTCAGAGGGATCTGCCCTGTGCACAAACCCAACGCTGACTAGTACTGGCTACAGCACCACTTCAACTGCAGAGCCTTATGCTGTAGCTGCCCTCTGCCAGCGTCTCCTAACACACAGCTCTGCTCTCCTCCAGACTTGCCTCTACCAAGGGTTTCTGCAGTGGATGCTATTTTAAAAAGCAACCTCTCCTCCACAGAGAGGCAACCTCAGGTTCTCTGGCCTTTGATAAAGAATTCGATGCTCAGCATATTATAAAAATTTTGTCAACAGACCTTTTAGTCCTAACGCATTTACTTTTAGAGCACATAAAAATGTGTTCAACATAAACACTTATGAAACAATGAGACATTAAAAAAAATGAAAACCCATGTCCCTGTGAGGCAGCAGCAATTCAGCTGTAAGTCTTATGAAACACACTTAGAGCAGGTTGTGTCACAGAAAATCTTTTGAATGTGTCCCAAGAGGCTTGTT